CGGCGGCAGCGGCAGCAAGCCGTGGACCCAAACGCCGTGCCGCCGCCGCCGCAGGCAGCACCCCTGCGACGGCGGCGGCAGCAAGCCGTGGACCGAAACTCCGTGCCGCCGAGTCCCGTGGCTGTGGCCGTGGGCTTCTGGCAGGAAACTACGGCCGCAGCTCGGCAGCACGGGGGCGTCGCAGCGTGCCGCCGCCGCCGCCGCGCTGCCCCCCCGGGCACGGCGGCGGCGGCAGCAAGCTTGGGCCCAAACGCCGTGCCGCCGAGTCCCGTGGCTGCGACCGTAGACCGTGGGCCGGAAACTGCGGCCGCAGCTCGGCGGCACGTGGTTCTGGTCAAATCGCCAAGCGTGCAGCAGCGCCGAACCACGCTTCCCGGCCTCGGCGCATGCCTTCAGGGGCCCCCTATCGCTGGGCACACCCCTCCAACACCGAACATGCGCCCGGGGGGGAGGGCGGCCCGGGCTGCCCAGGCCAAAGTGGGCCGCCCTCGAGCAAGAGGCGGCCGGGCTGTGTGCTGAATGAATGAATGAATGCTCGACTCGGCAGAAGGCGGAGCCGGGGCGCTGTCCGCATCCTGCACGCACAGCAGCAGCTTTCATGTGAACCAGAGGAAATTGGCTGGCTGGGTGGCTGGCTGGGTCTATGCATGGGACCCGCCGTCGGTCTGGCCCACGGCCACATGACCACCGCTCACCTCTGGCACAGGACGGACAGGGAGCACTGCTCCAGCCGACGCTTTTGTGGCAGCGGGTACAGCCTCCATGGCAGCGGCCGCTGGCTGGCTGTTGCCAGCCGCAGCCTGCTCGGCCTCCTCAGCCTTGTCCACCTCTGCCACCGTCTCCAGCTCCTGAGAAGCAGGCTGCTCCACTACGATTGCCTCAGTCGGACCCTCGGCCGACAGGACAGCTGGCACCTGCGCAGCGCTGCCGGGCAGGGCCGGGGCAGGGTCTTCCTGGAGCTGTGCCAGGCCGGCAGCAGCTGATGCCCGCGGCACGCCGCTGCCGCCGCTGCCCTGCCCATCCAGCGACACGCTGCCGACCCTGCCGGTGCCGGCGACCCCGCCCTGCAGCCTGCTGCTGTCCGCGGCAGGCAGCGCCTTGTTGGCGCTGCTGGCGGTGGGCCGCAGCAGGCGGCTGCTGACCTGCGGGATGGTGACGCTGCTGCCGCCGCCGTCCATGCTGGCGCGGCAGGACATGAAGCCGCTGGCGGCGCGGGAGCCGGGGCGGCTGAAGTCCACGCTGGCCCGGGGCCCTGAGGAGCCGCTGGTGGTGCGGGTGGTGGGCCTGGTGAAGTCGATTCCGGCTCCAGAAGACAGGAACGGGCTGCTGGCGGTGCGGGAGCTGGCACCCGTCAGGTCGACGCTGGCACGAGAGGGTGTCGTGAAAGGGCTGGAGGTGGCAGGGCTTGCGCCGGGGCGGCAAAAGTCCATGCTGGCCCTTGAGGAGGACATGAAGCTGCTGCCGGGGCGGGAGGCGAGGCGGCTCATGTCCATGCTCGCGTTGCGGGGGCCACCACGCCCCAAGTCCGAGCTGCCTCGCGGCGACATGAAGCTGCTGCCGGGGCGAGAGGCGATGCGGCTCAGGTCCATGCTTGCGTTGCGGTATGCAGTGCGGTTCCCCAGGTCCAAGCTGGCCCGGGTGGAGAGGGCGCCGCTGGCGTTGCGGGAGGAGATGCGGCTGGTGTCCATGCTGGCGCGTGGCGACATGAAGCTGCTGGCGGTGCCCGAGGGCGACCTGCAACAGGCGGTGTGGAAGCCAGGGAAAGGAGATCGCGCCAAAGGGGCAAGCAGATGGCTCCACATGCGGCTGCCGCTGCGCGCCGGCCCGACGCAGCTGGTGCCGCCGCTGGGCTCGCACCTGGAAGAAGTGAGGCCGGCCGAGGCGGCAGAGGAGGCGAGGCTCCGGGAGGAGGAGGCGGCGGCGCCGCGCGGCGATGAGCGCCCGGTGTCGAGGCTGGCGCGGCTGGTTGTGGGAGGGGAGGAGCGGCAGCTGACGATGATGGACGTCACTGGCTTGGGCGGTGACCCGTTGGTGGGCGTGCCAGGCGCAGCATCCCCTGCCGCCTTGCCCTCGGCCTCCTCACTCTTCTCGCCTGCAGCAGGGCGAGGCAGAGTGCTCAGCAGGAGGCTCCTGTCTGTTGCTCATGCTTCCTTGCAAACCACTCCCCTTGCCCAAACCGGCAGCTGTGCAGCTCGCGCTTACCATCCACGTGCACAACAGGCTTGGCAACCAGCTTGCGGAACTTCATAGCCGCGCCTGCACAAGCACCATGGCAGCCAGGGGCAGCAGCATGAGGCACCGCTGTGCTGAGAAGGATGTTGGGAGAGAGGTGGCAAGCACGGCACCGCACAGCAGGTCACAGCAACAGGCCAGGTCGTGCCAGCAACGCTCACTGGGGCTGGGCACGGCGGCAATCATGAGCTGCGTGACCCGCGTGTTGCCCCGGTCTGAGGCCAGGTTGATTGGTGTCTGCAGCCGGTGGCGGCAGGGTGGGAGAGGAGCGGGCAGGGTGAGGCAAGTACAGCCGCAGTGGACATTCCAGGTCCCTCCTCAGCAGGCTGCTAGCCCTGCTAGCCACAGCACACACACACACATGCGCACATACAATCATCTCATACAGGCACCCAAGCCTCTCTCACCTTGTCGGCATTGTTGTGCACCCAGGGGTCTGCAGCAAGCAGGGGGAAGCAGCGGCGGTGGCAAGGTAGGCGATAGCAGCAAGGAACCTGGGGTGGCTACTCGAGCCCCCATTCCCACCCACCCCCAACACCTGCACCACACATTTGCTCCTTAGCCACACCCTGCTAGCTCAGCTCAGCGCAGCTCACCCGCCCCGCCCTCCAGCAGCGCCCGCGCGACCGCGCTGTACTGCTCCGTCTTGCCATCCATCTTGCCGTTGGGCAGCTGCTTGCTGTCCCGCCAGCACTGCACCAGCGTGTGCAGCGCTGTGTCGCCCTGGGCATCAGTGGCATCTGGATCCGCGCCACCATCGCACAGAGCGGTGATCACCTCGGCCTGTGGGGGTCAAGGGCAGGGCTGGCGGGTAGGCAGGCAGCGAGCTGGCGCCAGCCAAGGCGGACAGACTGGGAAGGGGTGGGAGCTTAGCTGCCCCAGTGAGTGCCAGTCCCCACACCAATGCGCGTGTGTGTGTCATGCTGGAGAGAAGGGCCTCCTCCCCAAAGAGAAGCCACCCACCACAAAAACATGCCCAGCACTAATCGCACACACACACACACCACACACACACCACACACCGCGCACCTGCCCGCACTTGGCTGCCAGCTGCAGCAGGGTGAGGCCCTCTGGGGTGGTAGTGTCTGGGTGCGTGCCGCCCGCAAGCAGCGCCGCTACCGCCTCCGCATGGCCGTTCTGGACGGCCAAGTAGATAGGGCTTTCGCCTGCGGGGTTCCAGCACTCTGGGTCGGCACCGCCTCGGAGCAGCACCTCCACCACCGCTGCGTGGCCATGCTCTGCCGCCATGAACAGAGGGGTGCTGTACTTGGGTGTCACAAAGCCTGGGTCAGCGCCGCTGACCTGCGGCAGGGCGGGGGCAGGGTGCGAGGAACAGCAGGCCAGGGTTGAGGGAGGCGGGCTGAGGAAGGGCAGGTAATGGGTGGCAGCGGAGCAGGGCGCCTTGTAGCGGTGGTGTCCAGGAAGAGCCGTTGGCAGGGCTGCAATGCTGCAGCAGCCACAGCGCCGAGGTGTATGCCCACCAGAAGCGTGGCGGCCGCCTCGCTGTGCCCGTGCTCTGCTGCCCTGCACAGTGGCGTGCAGCCGTCTGCGGCCCTGCTGTCGACGAGGGCATTGGCGGCCAGCAGCGCCCGGATCACCGCCGTGTGGCCCTCTGCCGCGGCAGCGTGCAATGCGGTGTTGCCACGCGCGCCCTTGGCGTTGGGGGGTGTGCCGCCGCTCAGCAGCCGCTTGATGGTTTTGAGGTCGCCATGGGCGGCTGCGTTTGTCAGCTGCACGCCCGCAGACATGGTATGTGTGTGTGTGGTGGTGGTGGTGGTGTGTGGGGGGTGGGGGTCCTGGCGTGAAGGCTGCAGAAAGGAGGAATGCACATTAAATGGACAGCTTTTCCATTAAATACAAACATCTTGGCCTGGATGCACGGCAGGATAAGCAGTGATGGCGCTTTGTCCGGCGGGCACAACTAGCGCCCGCGCCGCCGTAACCGAGCGGTCGGCGGGACTGGCTGCCGATGGCACACCAGCGCCGCTTGCAACCGCCCAGCCGGACGTCAGCGTGCTCCTCACTTGGTCTTTTAACGGCAAAGCCGTTGCAGGGCAGCTTAGGCGGTCACTTCGAAGTGTGGTCACGAGCGGGTGGCTCTTGGCTCTCAGCGGGGGCCCTTGGAGCTGCGCTGGACGGCGTGTTGCGTCGCTGCAGACACGTTGCGTCTATCGATCGACGCAATTGGCACAAACGGAAACGAGTGGCAGACCTGCCAGATATGGTCGGTGGGGTCCGGAGGAGTTCCGGAGAGCAGGGCCCCCCCCCGGGCGAATGCTGCCAAGCTCTTGCAGACACTGTGCAGCCCATCATAGGGCATGATGGCGGCTTTGGTGCATGTGCAGGGCGACGGGGGGGGTGCTGGGAGGCTTGCCCAGCCTGGAGACCCGCCTTGCGCCCCGCCGACCGCGTCCGGCGGGCCCTGCGGTGTGAGGTCGGCTTTGGGTTTTACAGCCGGCGGCTGGCTACAGGCCTGCCAGCTCCACTAGGAGCGGTGCCGAGCCCTGGCTGAGGGCAAACATGAGGATGGCGCCCGCCGCTGACACATTCAGGCTCTCCATGAGCTCGCCGCCGCCGCTCTGCGGTATGCTGACGGCGACGCACCGCTCCCGCACGCCCGCCGACAGCCCCTGGCCCTCCGCCCCCAGGCACAGGCACACGGGCAGCTGCGCCAGGCGCTGCTGCAGGGCGCCCACGTCGCCCTCCGGCGCTGCCGCCTGCCCATGCTGCTGCTGCCGGGCCGCTGCCGAGCCGCTGCCGTCCCTGCCGGCAGTCCCCCGCGCATCCGCCGCCGCCGCCGCCGCCGCGCGGCTGGGATCCGCGGCCAGCGGCACCAGCCGCTGCTCCTCCACCAGCTGCTGCCACTGCCCCAGGCTGTACTGCGCCAGCGGCAGCTTGAACACCGCGCCGCGGCTGGCCCGCAGCGCCTTGTCGTTGTACGGGTCGCAGCAGCCCGGCAGCAGCACGGCGGCCTGCCAGCCCAGCGCCAGCGCCGTGCGCAGCAGCGTGCCCAGGTTGCCCGGGTCCTGCACGCCGTCCAGGGCCAGCACCCGGCGCAGCTGCCCCGGGGCGCCGCCCAGCAGGTCGGCCGTGGGCGGCAGCGCCGCCTCGGCCGCCAGCGCTCCGGCGCCCACGCTGCCCAGCCCGGCTATCTTTTGCATCACAGGAGCGGTGGCCGTCACATAACGCTCAGCCGCGATGCCTGCGAGCAAGGGGAGGCAAGGAGCGCACGCATGTGTGTGAATGCACGGCACGGCACGGCCTGGCTGTCGCCGCGAGGCTGGCGCGAGCACGACCCCCGGCCCATTGCCCCTTTTGCCCCTCGCCTCAAGCCTGCCAGGGCCTGCACCCGGCTGCTGCCTGCACTCACCGTCGGGCAGCTGGGCCTCCTCCAGCCCCACCAGGGCTCGGTACGGTGCGCAGTACGGCGCCAGCTCCACCACCAGGTCGGCGCCAGACACCAGCGCCGCCCCCACCTCCCGCCGGTACTTGCTGCTCTCCCGCAGCTTCACGCAGTGCTTCACTGCGGGGAAGGCATGCGAAGAAACGGAGGCAGCTTCAGCAGAGGCTCGGCAGCAGCCAGAATGCCGCCAAGAAACGGGAAACGGATGTCCGCCGCTGCACGCAGCCACCTGCCGCCGCTCAGCCCCGCCACTCGCCTGCAGGGTTCTGCGTGCTGCTGATGTGCATTGTCGCTTTATATTCGCTCGATGTAGATGCTTGCGCAGCTGCGACGACGCCAGCCGAACGTTTCGCTGGCGGCTGCCTCATGCATGGTGAGCCACAGGCAGCCGCTGCTACCGGGAGGGCCGCCACCATGTCTGCGGAGCTCAAGGTATGCGTTGAATATGTGAGCCTGGCGTTTTGTCTGGACAACCTGCTGCTTTGAGCATGTGCGGTACGGCAGGAGGGCGGGTGTACTGCTCTCTGGCGGGTGACCCACCGCAAAGATAGGGCGGTGTCCATTGAAAGGATGGTGTCAACACAATGTTTGCACTTGTTGTGGCAATAGGACAAAAACTGGCTGGCAGAGAAGCCAAAACTCAGCAACTGCAGCTAGGTTGGACTGCCGCCCCTCTCGTTCTCTCGTCACACGCTCACATACGAGCTCCTCCGCCTGCTACGAAGGTAGGCTGCCAGGCTGACCAGAGCTGCAGGGATCAGGAGAAGGGAGAAGGGCATATGTAGGCTGTTTGGCAGCAGCTCAAGCAGCAGAACACGAAACACAGGCACTTTGGGCCCGTCGCAAAACAGGCACAGCAGGCAGCAGCCCCCGCCTTGCCTGCAACACCCAGCAGGCCTCCCACCACACCGCCAACAATGGCGGCCGTATTGCTGCTGCCGCTGTCGCTGCTGGTGGCCTCTGAAGACGTGGTGGCGCTGCCGCCACCTGCGCTGCCCTGCTCTGCCTACATACCAGCATCGTTGCTGCTGCCGGGGCCCGGCGCCACCTGCGGCGCTGGTGCCGGCGCACCCAGCAAGGGGGCTGCGGCCGACCCAGGTGCCGGCGCCTCTGACGGAACCAGGGCGGTGAGTTGTGTCGCCTCCTCGCCATCTGCAGGCTCCTCCCGCCGTGTCGCGCGGCCTGCTGGGCCTGGCGCGGGCTGCGCAGAGGGAGGCTTTGCCGGCAGCGAGGTGGGAGAGGCCGCTGGCTGCTCGCCTGCTGCTGGCGCTCCTGCTGGTGCTGCTGCTGGCACTGGCACTCCCCACGGGCCGGCGGCCTCCACAGGAGCAGGCTCAGGCGCCCACAGGCCATCAGGCGGACCATCCGGGGGCTGCGGGCTGCCTGGAGCTGTCATGCTGCCGCTGCGAGGGGAGCAGGCACAAGGAGGGGAGCAGGCACTCAAGGTGGGCAACCAGCACAGCGGCAGAGGCACAGCAAGGCCAGCTCCAAGGTTATCGGGCAGGAAAACTTGCGCCCCCAGCACTACCTCGTGCGGCACGCAACCGCCTCCCTGCAGCAGCAGCGGCGCATCCAGCCATCACATCAACACCGGCAGCTCAGCGGGCAGCGAGCTGCCCTGGCACGCTGCCTGCCTCCTCCCCCGGCCCGCGCCTCAGGGGCCACATTGCGACAAACACATGAGGCTGCAGCAAGACGCTCCAGAGCAAGCAGGCAGGCAGGCCCACCAGGGCGGTATGTAGACCGGTTCCCCCGCTGGGATGGTATCCCCCGAGTGCAACGGGTTGGTAGCAAACAGCTCCTGGTCGCTGAGGCCAAAGGCGGCGGCCAGAGAGTCGACTGTGTCGCCCGCCGCCGCCGTGTAGATCTGGCATTGGGGCAGGCCGCCTGCGGGCGCAGGGCGCAGCAGCCGGGCAGAAGCTTAGGGCGGGGAGGAGGTGCAGGCATGGTCCACAGCCGAGCTGACATGTCGACTTGCAGAGCGGGCTGTGGAAGCGAGCGCCTGCCTGGCCGGGGTGCCTACCCGCATTCTCCACTCGCAGGCACTCCTCCGGCCACGGAGGCAGGCAGGCGAGCGTGCCATTCGGCAGGGCGGAGCCAGGCGTGTATCCGCTGACGCACAGCAGCAGCGCCTCCTCCAGATCATCTGCAGCAATGAAAGGAAGTGGTGGCTCGCAATTCTACACGACGCAAGTCACCGCCTGCCCCCAAAAGTCCAGCCAACAATAGGACCACGAAAGGTAGTGGTGACTCGCCTGCGTTAACTCCCTCTGCCTGCGCAATGCTGGATGTGGTGTCCCCCTGCTGCGTGATGTAGCGTTTGCACACAGCAGACTCGATCACTGCACGAGGAACAAGTGGTGCGTCAGGGTGTGCCCAAAACCCGGCAACTGAGCGTCAACAGGCGTCATATCAAGAGCGCTCCTCACCCGCCGCCTGGCTGAGGAAATTGCATGCCACGAGAGCAGCCAGCAGGGCCACAACTCGGGGCTTCATGGTGCACCTGCATGGCAGCCCATGGCAGCGCAAGTGGTGCGTGCTGCCCGCTGGCAAGCCGGGCGCCAGCGGGTGAGCGGGTGGCGCACTTCACTCACGCACACCTGCTTGTCCACGCGCCGCGATACAGCCTGACCGTCCACTGTTGCCGTGCCCTGTGCACGGTCTCGTGCGCACCCCGCGTCCTGAGCCGCGTCGAAATCTGCCTGTCAGGTTATCGTGTAGGGTGCCTGTCAAGCCATCACAGGTGAGGGACAGGCGCAGGCAACACGCAATGTGCGGTCTCGCTCCCCACTTTGAATCCAGCAACTGTACCTGCGGCAAGCCAGCAGTACGACTGCCGCTCCGGCCGAGCATTTTTAATGTTCCTCTGAATTTTACTAAGTGCAGGCAGAAAAATTCTAGAGGGGGCCCGAAATGGTACTGTACACATACAAGAAGCTATGCCGCTGGCCCCTCACACATCCTCGAACAGGGCCGCCAGGTCAGCATCCGAGCTCCAGCCCGCATCATAGCCCAGCTCCTGCAGAGCGCTCTGGTCCTGCAGATGCGCCTCGTCTGCTGCCAGGTGCGCCTGGCCTGCAGGCAGATGCGCCTGCTTCTCCGCCTGCTGCCGCGCCTGCCCCGCGGCCTGCGCCTGCCAGCGGGCGGCCTCCCCCTGCGCCTGCCAGGAGCTGTCGGGCGCCCCCGCCTGCGCCGGGGCTGCACCGCCGCCTGCCATCTGCATCATCTGGCTGGCAGGCACGAAGCCCGGGAGAGCGGTAGCGCCCGGCGCCGGGTAGAAGCTGGTGCCGGGGAGCCACGGCTGCTGCGGGTGGTAGCCAGGCGGCAGCTGCGGCCTGACAGCCAGGCCGCCGCCAGGCCCCGCCTGCTGCTGCATGTACTGCTGCTGCATGTAATGCTGCATCCCATACAACTGCTGCGCCTGCTGCATAGCAGCCGCCGCCTGCGCCCGCTGCACCACCGCCGCCTGCGCGTGCTGCACAGCCGTTGTCCGATGCAGCCAATCATAGGTGCCGCGCATGGCATCGTCGTCGACAGAGGGCTGCCTTGCTGGAAGCGCCGCAGGCGGTGGCGGCTGGGCCGGCGGCCGCACCCTTGCGGGCAGCCGTATGCGCAGGGGGCCGCCGGGCTGCTGCTGCGGCTGCTGCTGCGGCTGCTGCATGGGGGCCCTCGGCCCCGGCCGCGGACCCTGCTGCCCCTGCTGCCCCTGCTGCCGCTGCTGCTGCTGCGCCTGCTGCCGACGCAGCAGCGGCACCTCCTCCTCATCGCTCGACAGCAAGTCGATCACCTCTGGCTCATCCGCCTTGTGCTTCTGCAGGCGGGCGGCACGGCCGGTTGTGCCAAGGTGTGCACCAGCAGCCACGGCAGGCAGGGGGCGTGGCGGATGCACGCAACAGACCGTCCCCAGGCAGCCCATGGCAGCCCACGGCAGCCCGCAGCATGAAGCAGCGACACGCGACGGCGCACAGGCAGCCATGCCGTGCCGCACCTGGCCAGAGAGCGCCGCCGAGGGGGCCTTGCGTACCGCCGCCGCCGCGCTGCGCAGCTCCTCCTCCGCCCCCTCCTCCTCGCTGTCGCTGTCGGGCACCAGAAACGCCTGGCCGCTCCCGCCAGCCGCCCCCGCGGCTCCGGCACCGGCACCATTGGCGGGCTCGCCACCACCGGCCGCCGCCTCGGGCTCAGGCTTGGTGCCAGCGGCCCCCACGGCTGCTCCCAGGGAGGCTGCGACGTCAGCAGGGTCGGCTGCGATGTCGATCCACTCGCGGCCGCTGCCGTCGGGGCGCCACTGGCCGTCTGCGGCGAGGCGGCGAGGACAGCAGGAGGGCGCATGCTCAGCCGATGCCAGCATATGCCCTCCGCCTGGCACAGCAGCGGCCAGGCGCGGCAGGCGGGTCCCATGCGGCCGCCGCCATGCGTCCAGCCCAGGTCAGGCACCACTCTGCCGCCTCCTTCCTGCCGCCTCCTTCTCCGGCCTGCTCGCCTGCCGAGATCTCGATGTCTGTGATGGCGGGTAGGCCGCGCAGGCACAGCAGCACGCGCTGGGTGTAGGTGTCCACCTGGGAGGTACAGGAAGGAAGCAGTACAATGTGAGCAGGGACGAGGGGCAGGACAGGTACCGGGCGGGCAGCATCAGGTAGCCACCATGCAGCACGTCCCCCCCAGCACACATCCCTCGGTCCCCACGACGCCACGCCCCTTTGCTCCTCAACCATCAACCCCTGGCCCCTCGCTCCCCGTGCCCCCACCCCCTGCCCTGGGGCCAGCCGCGCCCAGCCCCTGCGCACCTGCAGCTGCTCCACGGTGCTGTTCTGCAGGGTGGAGGGGTCCTGCCACTTGCGGCTGCGCTGCGCCATGCTGAGCAGCGAGTCGAGGTCAAAGGGCTGCAGCCCGCTGGCGCCGGAAAACCGAGCCGGCACCTGCGGGGGGCAGGGCGGCGCGCGGAAGGAGAGGCTAGGATGCGTGAGAGCGTGCCCACCTGCCTGCCCCTTGGCTCCAGGGCGTGACACATAGCCGTGCGCTGCCATCCGGTGCCAGCCCAGGCGCAGGCGCCCCCCAGCCCAAGCAGCCCACCCAGGTAGCCGACCCACCTGTATGCGCTGCCCACTCATCGGATCCTTCAGGCTGACCACCTGGTGGCTCACCAGCAGGTCGTCGTCTGCGGTACAGGCAGGCGGTACAGTCAAGGCGGTACAGTCAAGGCAGAGCAGGCCAGTGCCGCTGAGAAGGCTTGGCAGCACACAAACAGGAGACGACTCAATGGCAGCCCCGAGAATTTCCCACTTCCAACGCTCCTGCCAGGCAACGCTGCAAAGAAGGCACTCGGCCGGCGGCCCTGTTCCCCCTCCCTGCACCCCCCATCCCTGCCCACCCACCCGAGTCGTCGCCGGCGACCTGGCGCCGCACTCGCGCCACCGCCTCCTCCAGCCCCTCCGGCGCCGCCATCAGCGCCTTGACCTGCGGCAGCAGCGGTCGCAGCACAGCCGGCGACTTAGCCTCAGATGGCTGCAGTCGCTGCGGAGGGGTGCCCGCACACCTTCCAAGGAGCCGCTGGCTGCGCTGCGCGGTGCTCGGCAGGAGATGGGTGCACATGCAGCATGGGAGCATGCCCCTCCCTGGCGCTGCCCACCCACCTGCTCCATCGTGCGGCGCCGCGCCAGGTGCATCATGAGCACCCACGTGCCGCTGTCGGGGGCGCTCAGGCTCAGGGTGTTGCGCCCGCGCACAACCATCGTGCCTGCGGGGCGGGGCAGGGAGGGATGCAGGTCAGGACCTGAAAATGAAAAAGAAACAGCCACCAGCACAGGCAATCTCCCCTCCCCCACCTGCCTCTGCCTCCTGCCAGACGCCCGAGCGTATGCCACCAGCCACCAGGGGCACCACCAGCCCCTATCCCCAGCCTCCATGAGGGCCACCAGGGCCACCCCCCGCCCCTATCCCCTAGCTGCCTCACCGATGCTGGCCACATCGTCGCGCTGGTTGATGCCCATCTTGGCGTTGAGGGAGCGGGCATAGGGCCTGCGCTCAGCGGGCGCGCCAGCACAGCCGGCAGGCGGTCGATGCCAGCAGCCACCATGCCCCAAGCGCCGTGGCCGCTCCTGTGGACAGCCCAGCAAGGTGCAGCCTCGACCGCAGCGGCCGCCGCCCGCCACGGGCAGCGCGGCTCGGGCGGCGGAGGGCAGCCGCGCTCGGCTGCCGCAGGCTGCTGTGGGCCGAATATAGCCTGCCACACACTTGGGCAGAAGCCCACCTGTGCGGCATGTTGTTAATCTTGAGATCCATGTGCTTAGGCCAGTGGTACCGCTCCGCCACCTCATCCCCAACCAGCAGGCACCCCACCTGGACGTGGCGGCGAAAGCACGGGCCAGGGCTGTGAGGCGCACAGCACCCAGGGCAACAGACCTCTCACGAGCAGAGCGGGGCGGGCTGCATGTCCGTCCTGCTGCTGCTGCTGCTGCTGCTTAGCCCGGGCCAGGCTGCGAGCAACACCCCCTCCCCTCCCTCCTCCCAACACGCGATTTGCGGCACTCCTTCCTGCCCGCCGCGTGGCCCACCCGCACCTGCAGCCTGTGGTTCTCGGGGTCCCGCTGCACCGCGCTCAGCTGCTGCTGGTGCAGGTAGAACACAAAGTCCCGGCTCTGCACCTGCTGCATGCCAGACATGGTCACCACGGGGGGCCTCCCGAGCTGCACAGGCGGCGAGGAGGGCAGGCGGGGGCGTGAGCGGGCAGGCGCACGCGTGCGCGGCATGCGGCAGGCGGCCCCGCTGTGCGCGGCAGCAGCCTGCCACCTGCGCCTGTGCCCCACCTGCGGTTTCAGCGGGGCGGGCGGCAGCAGCCGCTCCGTAGCTTCCCAGAAGGGGTCTGCCAGCCGCGCCCTGCAGCACAGCAGGCGGCGCAGACTGTCAGAGAACGAGGTATTGCACTGCACTGCATGGCCCAGCCGCCGCTTGCCGCGGAGCATGTGTTGGGGAGGGGCAGAGGAGGGGCGCACGGCATGGCGGCGGGAGGCAGCACCTGCAGCCCTCGCAGAGGAAAGCGTCCACGGCGGCGCCCTGCGGCGCCCCAGCGCCCAGGCACTGCGTGTGCTGCCACACGCCGCACCCCTTGCCCTGCAGCGGAGCCACCAGGGGAGCAGGTCTGCACGCCAGGGCCGAGCCGGGGCTGTGCGGTGCAGCCTGAGGTGCAGCCCGCACCAATTCCTGGGCGAAGCGGCTCAGGCGGCTGGGGCCCTGCTTCACACACACACAACACACACACTGTCTCCCAGTTTCCCCAGCCTGGCAGCCCCGGCACCTCACCTGGCACATCACCATGCGCCCCTGCTGCTCCGCCACCGAGGTGCAGATGCAGCGCACCGGCAGGGGCCTGCGTCCGGCGCCGGCACCGCCCTGGCGCTGTTGCTGCTGCAAAGTGGCGTGCGCCTGCTGCTGCTGCTGTTGCTGCTGCAAAGTGGCGTGCGCCTGCTGCTGCTGCTGCTGCTGCTGCAAAGTGGCGCGCGCCTGCTGCTGCTGCTGCTGCTGCTGCAAAGTGGCGCGCGCCTGCTGCATCGCCTGCGCCGAGGGGAGCCCCTGCTGCGGCGGCGGCGGCCCGGCGCCGGCGTTGCCGCCCGGCATCTGCTGGCTGCTGTGCGCTGACTGGTCGGAGGGCGTGTTGGTTGGCAGGCCCATCATTCTGCAGTAGGTGTCGTGCACCACCTTGGCTGCAGGCGGGGCAGGCGGGAGTGGCGGCGGGCAAAGGTGCAGGCGAGGCTTGGGTGGGCGCGCTGCCAGCGTCGAAACGCGACAGCTCAGAGGCGCGAGCGAGCCTCCGGCGTGGACCGGCACCAGCCCCGGGGCCGAGGCGGGGCGCGTCTGTGCCGTGGCTAGCGGCGGGCCGAGGCGAGCCGGGGCGCACCTGCGTGCTCGATGCGCCACTGCTGCTGCGGGGGCTGCACCTCGGGGCGGCCGACCACCGACTGGGGGAGCGCCTCTCCAAAGTATGCCAGTATGCGGCCCTGCAGCTCCCCTTTACGCCCTGCACCGCCAAGGCACGGCGAATGCGTGAGGGCCAGGCGGCATCGACACCGGCGGCAGCGCCCGCAGAGCTCCGAGGAATGCTGGCGGCAGAGGCGGCGCGCGCAGGCCCCTGCGCCGCTCACCCGTCTTCTTCAGGCCCAGCCGCTCCGCCACCTGCGTCAGCTCCACCATCCGGAAGGACAACACCTCCCTCCGCACCGTGCTGGTAGCGGGGGTGCCCCCCGGGTGCGACATGGTCGCTACTGCCGGCGGCGGCGGTGGCGCCAGTGCTGCCCCACACTGCTGCCACGGCGCAGCCTCGGCTGCTGAAACCTCGCTGCCAAGCTACCAAGCTGGCGCTCCTGCAGGGGCGGACAGCGCAGAGGTCGAGGGAGGGCAGGAGGTGGGCCGCGCAGGGGCACAGGCTCCAGTGCAATGCTCCAGGGCGATGTGAATGCGCCACACTACCTGTTGGGTGCTCTGTTCCGCCGAAAAGCCACCACCTCGCCGAGAGAGAAATGCCCAGTAGGCACAGACCGACCCTACAGGCCCCTTGGGAGTCTGAATAGATGCTTCTAATTATGAGCGAGTCGGGGACAGGTGCGATAGGGATGTAGATTGCTGCTGCTGTCCAATGCAGGCCGTCGCCCGCAGCAGTCGCAGCACCATGGTGCCTCCTTCTGCTATCGTTGGCCACACGCGGTCCTATTGTGGCCGGCTGCTTCTGACCCGGCGAGGAGGAGGCCCCGCCCGCTGATCACCAGTTCTTTATGCTGCGCATCTTTCGGCTCAGCGCAGTTGGCCTCCTGCTGCTGGCCGCCTGGGCAGCACTGCTGCAGCAAACCACCGAGGAGCCGGCCCGCACCTGGGTGCTGCTGGTAGGCGGGAGAGGCGGGGCGCCCCAGCCCGGCGGTTCCGTTGCCGCTGGCGGTTCCAGCACCCCACCGCCGCCTTGCCCCTGCTGCTGCCCGCAGGCACCGCTGCTGGCGCTGGTCGTCTTTGGCGCTTACCTGGCCACCGCCCTGCTGTACGGCGTGGCCACCTTTAGGACTGTGCCAGAGGAGGCGGAGCTACTGCAAAAGGTGGGAGCGGTGGTGTCTGGGCATGCATTGAAGCTGCAACACGGCCGTGGCTCGCCAATGCTACAAACCCTCTCCTGCTCCCGAAGCAAGAGGCGCAGCACACCCGCGGCTGCCGCCGCCACCACCCTTGCAGGACATCGCTCGTGCCAGAGCCGACCTTGCCCGGCGCGGCATCAAGTACTGAGCGGCAGCCGGAGAGCCAGGCAGCAGAGGCAGGCAGGCGAGACCCCCGCCAGCCATGGCCGACGATTACGCCGCCGGCGCGGTGCATGCCCTGACCGCGGGCAGCAGCGAGCTGCGCGGCATCCTTGCGGCGGCCGCCCGCCGCTCGCAGCTCGTGCTGGTGGACTTCTCCGCGGCCTGGTGCGGCCCCTGCCGCGCCATGGAGCCCGTGCTGCGGTCGCTGGCCGCGGAGCACCGCGGCAGGCTGGCCGTCATCAAGGTGGGGTGCCACCGCCACTGCTGGCAAGAGCCGCCGCGCTGCGCTGGCGCTGGCGCCGGGACGAGCCCACGTTTTGCGCTCCCTGGCGCCCGTCCAGCCTGCCTGCTGCCTCCTTGCAGCACGCGGCAGCAGCCGCGCCTTTGGCGGCCGCCCTCCGCCTCCCCACCGGCTTCCCATGCGCCCCCATGCCACGTTTGCGCAGGTGGACTGCGAGCAGACTGCCGCCAACCAGGACTTGGCTGCCACCAGCGCAATAAGGGCCTTCCCCACCTTCCACCTGTTCCGGTGCGTGCGGGATTGTTGGTGCGGGGGGGATGGCCCGCCAGCTGTGCATGCATGCTGGGCCTGGCGTGCACCCTGGGCCCGTTGGGTGGCCCCACACCCCGCCGGTCCACAAGGGGTGAGCCGAGGCTCACCCCTTGTGGAAAGCTTGTACTTTGGGAGCTGCTCTGCTGCCACGGCTCGCTCACCCTTGGCCGCCTTGCGCCACCGCCTCGGCTGCCGCCCGCAGCAGCCAGCAGAAGGTGGGGGAGCTGCGGGGCGCCGACCAGGCGGGCCTGCGCCGCGCCATCCAGCAGCAGCTGTCGCAGCTGGGCCCCGGCGGCAGCGGCGGCGGCGGCGGCCGAGGGCCCATGGCCGCCGCGCTGGTGGCGGCGCTGGCGCGCGTCAAGGCCGCCTGCTCCTTTGAAGAGTTTGTGACGGCGGCCAGCACGCTGCTCACGTTTGTGGGCAATGCGCTGGACCACCCCGGCGAGGAGAGGTACCGGCGCATCAAGCTCAGCAACGCCGCCTTCCAGTCCAAGCTGGGCTGCCGGCCGGGCGGCAAGGAGTGCATGGCGGCCATCGGATTCAGGTGGGCGCCTCGGCGGGGGGGCACCTGGTGGTGGAGCAGGCGGCGGCGGCGGCGGCACGGCGGGCTCGCACGCGTGCGGTTCGGGAGGTGGGAGGGAGCAGGTCCGTGAGCGGGACAGTACTGAAGCGGCTTGATGAGCAGCCAGGTGCCCGGCATGGCTGCCGGCCTTGCCTTTGCTCAAATGCTGATTGCCAGTGCCTGCAGGGAGATGAATGAAGCTGGGGAGCAGGTGATGGTGCTGGCTGAGGTACCGCAGCAGCTGCCGCACGTGCGCCAGCTGCTGCAGCAGGCGCTGCAGCAGGCAGAGGCGGCGGCCGCAGGCGCCGCGGCCGCGGAGCGCAGGACCGCCACCGCCGCCGCAGCAGCCCAGCCCCCAGCGCCTGCACCGCCGCCCGCTGCGTCGGCCCAGGCGGGCGCTGGCGGCAGCGGCAGCAATGTGGATGCAACCTCCCTCGCCAGAGCTCTGGCCGCGGCACTGGGCAGCGGGAGCGGCGGTGGCAGCGGCACTGGTCCGCCTGCCACCGGCGGCGCCGTCGCCACCGAGGCCAGGCCTGCTGGTCAGCCCGGCACACTGCGGGTGACGCCCAAGGGGCTAGCCAAGGTGCTGGCGCAGGCTATGCAGGCGAGCAGCATTGGTGTGCCTCCGCCGGCTCCACCCCAGGAGCAGCAGGAGCAGCCGCCGCCGGGGCCGGCCGAGCAGTAGGGGCAGAAGGGACGGCAGGCCTGCCGCTTCTGTGTGCCATCTTCATCTTGTGCTAGCTTATTCTCACAATAAAAGATGTTGTAAGCAGTACAGAGCGAATGCAGGAGGGCAGCATGCTGGCAAGGGTTTGAGCAGGGCGGTGGCATGACATGCTGACGCTCAGCTGCCGTAGCTACTCAGGCCACACCATGGGCGGCTGCTCCTCATCCTCTGCCGCTGCCTGCTGCGCCTGCCCCCTGGCTGCCGTCTCGGGCTGCTGCTGCTGCTGCTGCTGCTGCTCCAGCTCCTCCTCTGGATACACCATCTTTTTCGACAAGCCGCCATCAACCACAAACTCCTGGCCTGCAGGGGACAGGGCAGCGGCTCGGCGGCATGCGAGGGCGCACGGGGCGCCACGGCGAGCACGTGGATGCAAGGCGCGCCGAGCAGCAGTGCTGCCGGCGGCAGGCGCAGCCTCCTGTCCAGCCCTGGAGGCAGGGGGGTGGCCACCTGTGATGAAGCCCGCCCGGCTGCTGTCTGCCAGGAAGAGGCACAGCTCTGCCACATCCTCGGGCCACCCCACACGGCCTGCAGGCACCAGGCAGAGAGCTGAGCGGCTCCCTGATCGGGCGCCTGCCTCGCCACCTCTGCTGCAGCACCTCGCCGCTGTGAAGCAGGCCGCACAGGCAGGTGGCCCTGAAGGGGGCCTGTCCGCAGCCTTTGCTGCTGCCACCCACCTGCCGGATGCCAGGCATGGTCGGCGGGGGTGATGCTGGCCGGCTCCCCGCTAGTGTCAATCCAGCCTGGCAGCACGGCATTGACCCGCACCCTGTGTGCCAGGCTTACGGCCTGGGCATGCGTGAGCCCCAGCATCCCTGCCTTGGCAGCTGCATACGCCTCAGAGTGGGGCTCCGACTGTGGGCGGGGGTGGGGGTGGTGAGTGCGGCATCGGCTTGGCATTGCGTGCAGCGGGGCTGGCAGGATGCCGCGCCATGGATGTCGCAGGGCAAGCGCTGATGCACTGAAGCACACCTCCCCGCCCCACCTGGTGCGCCCGGGTGCTAGAGATGTGGATGATGGCGGCATCCCCAGCCGGCATGTGCGGCAGCACGGCTTGGGACATGAGGAAGGCGCCTGCGCATGGGCAGGGCGCGGCGGCGGCATGGACAGGCAGTTGCTGCAGATGCTGCTGCAATGCGGGGTGGCTGGCCTCTGCGGGGAGGGGAGGAGCTTGCCGGTCAGGTTTGTGTCGATGACGGACCGCCAGTGGAGCATCGCCGCCTCTGCCGCCTGCGGCATGTGTGGATCCGCCACGCCCGCGCTGCAGCATCGGGGCAGGGGAGCGGCCTGAGGCAGCTGCTGGTGCTCGGGCTGCTCTGGGCTGCTCCTGTCCTCCACACGAGGAGCACCCCCCTGGCGCACCGCGCTCGAGTAAGCTTACTTGTTGATGAGAGCGTGCACGTCGGCGGAGCCAAACTGCTGGCGGCAGGCGGTGGGCACAAATCCGACCTCCGCGGGCGCTGCCACGTCGATCACCACGTGAGCATAGTGTGGGCCCAGAGCCTCATCTGCGGGACAGCGTCGGCGGTGAAGGACGGGGCAGTGCGGTGCGCCTGCGCATGGCGCTGGGGCAGCGGTGGTGCTGACCTGGATCTGTGTCCTGCAGCTTCAGCTTGTCAACGCCCAGCACGCGGTAACCCGCCCTGAGAAAGGCCCGGGCGCAGGCCCTGCCGATGCCGGTCGGCCTGGCGGTGCCGGTCACGACGGCAGTTCGGGGAAGCGGAGCGGCGGCGCTCATAGCGCCACGGGGGGAGAGATCCCGCACGGAGCTCTGCCTACGAGATGCCCTGCCGCCTTCCTAGGTTAAATGTAAGAGCCTGCCTGCCCTCCTGTGCGATGGCAAAACTTGCTGCTGCTATGACCAACCCTCGACGGTTTGATAGGATAAGTAAAATATAGCACAGATGCACAGAACAAGCACAGTCAATATAGCCGGGCTGCTTGCTTCGCAGTGTGGCATCTTTGGTGGCGCTGAGGTGGCTATCGAAATGCGCCTGACTTGACCCACAGGGCAGCCGTGCGCTATAACGGGATGGCCTTTACTGTAGGCCTGGGCAGTCGCGGGCATTCTTCGTCATTTTCACGTTCGCCCGAGTCCCGGCCCCAGCCCAAACTCGACAGCTGCGCCTGCAACCCTCGCCAGGACATGGGAAAGTCAGGGCGGCATAAGCGGGGCAAACAGGGCCACCAGGGCGGCGGTGGCAAGCGGCGCAGCAGCGTGGGCGGGCGGGGCGCCAGGCTGGGCGGCGCACCGGCACAGGCACGCTGGCTGCCAACCCTCGTCGTGCCTCCTGCAGCCTTGCTGCCAGGCTGCCAGGCTCTGCGACCCGGACACCCGCTTATGACATGGTGCTCTGTGCCAACCTGCAGGGTTTGAGCGACTCTGAAGAGGAGGGCCAGAGGATGCTGCGCATTGGGGGCGTGGTGGTGCGGGTGGACAGCAGCGGCCACGCCGCCCTGCATGTCGGCGGCAACGGCGGCGGCGGCGGCGGCGGCGGTGGGCACCACCGGCGGCAGCGCCGCCGAGGCTCCGCTGGCAGCGTGCCGGTGCCCTCCAGCCAGCAGCAGGCCGCCCCCGGCGACTTCAGCAGCGGGTCGGGCGGCGACGAGAGCAGCGGCGGCGACGACAGCGGCCTTCCCAGCAGCGACGGCGGCAGCGAGCTGGGAGTTGGTGCCCGGGACCAAGCGATGCTGGACTATCTGGACAATCTGGCAGCCGCCGAAGTGGCAGCAGCAGCAGAGGAGCTGGAGCAGGAGCAGGCGGGGAGCGAGGCGCAGCGCGGCAGCAGCAGCAGCGGCTCTCAGGCGGACGCCGAGGGCGGCGGTGAGGGCGGCAGCGCGGCCAAGCGGCAGCGCCGGCAGTACGAGCAGTACGAGGCGCTGCGCCGCTTCTGCGGCGTGGACATGCAGGATGAGGGACCTGTGGCTGACCTGGGCTGGCCAGGTGGGTGGCGGTGCTGCTGGGGAGGTCCGCCCTGCGCCAGCAAGGCGGCCCTTATGCTGTGGGCCGCCTGATGACCCGCTCCCATTCTTACGTGTTGGCCCCCCCCGGGCTTGTGTGTACCAGCAGGCATGGAGGAGGATGAGGACAGCAGCAGCGAGGAGGGCAGCAGCAGTGGCGGCGGCAGCCGCGGCGGCAACGAGTCAGATGACGACGGCAGCCGCGGCGGCAACGAGTCGGATGACGACGGCAGCAGCGGCAGCAGCAGCGGCAGCAGCAGCAGCGACGGCGGCGAGGGACGGGATGGGAGCAGCAGCAGCAGCATCGATGGGGAGGAGCTGATGGAGGCTGACCTGGCGCAGCTGAGGTGCGGTACTGTGCAGTAATACACAATGCCATGCACCCCCCATCAAGTGGCGCATGTCGTCGTCAACCTGCCTTCCTTGCATGGCGGGCACGGCCCGAGCGCTTCCCTGCCTGGGCTGATGTGGGTCTTCCTGCTTGCCGCCTCCTGCCCCTGCCAATATGCGTATGCAGCCTGGCTCAGCGGTACCCGGTGCAGGTGCGGCCGCAAGCGCCGCCGCTGCCGGGCCAGCAGCAGCAGGCCAAGCAGCAGAAGAAGAAGGGCAAGCCGGGCGTGAAGGGGGCCAAGGGCGGCAAGCTGGCGCCAGGCGAGCGCCGTTTGCCCTGCCGAGCCACCGCGCTGGCTGCCGGGCCAACCGCATGCCCAGCTGCGCCGAGCGCTGTCTTCCTGGTGAAGCAGTCGGGCGAACTCCCTCTCCTCATCCCCTCCCTCTCTTTGGCATGTGCCATGCCTATCTTTTTTTATCTTTCTCGATGGAGGTTGCGCTGCCTGCTGCCTTTGCCTAGCCTTGCCCTACCTGACCTGGCCTTGCCTGTGCCTTGCCGTGCTCCCCGACCCCTCCCTCATGTGCCTCCAGGCGAGAAGAAGCGGCTGAAGAAAGAACGGATGGAGGCCAAGCGTGCCGCGCGGGCGGCGGGGCGCGGCTTTGACCTGCCTTGGATCAACCGGCAGCTGGAGGAGTTTGTGGCGCGGCAGGGAGACCTGCAGGTGGGAGGGCGCGAGCAAGGCGCTGGGAGGGGCGCGGCGTCGCGGTGTGGCGCCGTTCTGGTGCCGTGGCTTGGTGCCTACTGGTGGCAAAGGCGTGTGGCTGTGCGGGGTGGTATGGCAGCAGCTCTCCAGGTCGTGCCCCGCAGCGTCACCCCCCGCTGCACCTCCCCGCAGGCCTTTGGCCCCTTTGGCAAGCACGAGGGCAAGGCGGTGCAGCGGCTGGCCGCGCTGTATGGCTGCCGCAGCAGCCTGCAGGGCAGCAAGAGCAACCGCAAGCTGGTGGTGGTGAGCGGCGGCGTGCCATGCCTTGGCATGCCTGCCCTGTTCGGGTCGGCTGCCTGCCAGCTGCCTGACCCGCTTGTCTGCCGCCGCCGTGCAAGGGTGCACCCTGCCGGTGCCGGCGCGTGTGTGCAACGCCCCCTTTCTGTGGCTGCGCTGCGGTGCAGGTGTGCTCCACGCCGCGCACCTGCCTCCCACAGGGCACCCAGCTGCTGCAGGCGCGTGCCGCCTCGCTCAGCCTGCTGGTCTCCTGGACGCGATCCTGAGCTGGCTGCACATGCGCTCCCACGCACTGCTGCCTCATTCCTTAAGCCACCTCTTACATCGGCGCTGGCCTGCAGATTGGGCAGATCCTGGCAGCGCAGACTGCGGCGGAGCGCTCCGGCGCGGCGCTGGACGGCAGGCTGGCAGCGGCAGTGGCGGGTGCCGACCTGGGCAGCGTCCTGCCGCCCTCGCTGGCAGCTGCCGAGGGGCGCGGCGGCAGGTGGGCCGGCGTGCGGCGCGGCAGCGGCGGCGGCGGTGGCCGGCAGCGGGTCGCCGCGGCGAGCGCCGCCAGAGGAAGCGACAACAAAGGTTAGTGAGCTGCTGCCAGCTCTCCCAGTGCGGTCCAGCCTGCATCCCGTCAGACCTTCACGCTCGCTTGGTGCTCAAGCCTGCCTGGCTCTTGTTTGCGCCCCAACTTTCCTCCCGCTGCCATGTGCTGCAGCCCACAAGAGGCGCAGCAATCTCAAGCCGGTAGCTTTTGTGTCGGTGGGGGCCATCAACCCCGACGACGCTGTGGAGGTGGCTGTGCCGGCAGCCGTGGCGGCAGCGGCAGCAGCAGCGGCGCCCGGTGCCCCCGAGGGCGGCGGTGACATCGAGATGGCTGCCCCCGGGCAAGCGGCGGCACCGGCTGCAGCGCCGGTGGCGCCGCCAGCGGCGGACAGCGGCAGCAGCAGCGATGACGGGGCGGCGGCGCGCGGGCCCGCGGCGCGGGAGGAGCAGCAGGTGTCGGCCGCCGCTGCCGGCTTCCAGCTTCTGGAGGTGATTGAGGATCTGAGCGGCAGCGAGCCGCAGCAGCAGCGGCAGCCCTGGAGGCAGCAAGGCCTGGCGGGTAGCGACGAGGAGGATGAGCCTGAGGCCGAGGAGGGGCATGCCGGGCTGGGCAGCTCGGGCGCACTGTACACGCGGTGAGCAGTGCCAGCGCACACTGATTGACCTCTGGCATGCCCTGCTGCCCACGGCCGTGATGCCTGCCTGCCTGCCTGCCTGCCTGCCTGGCAGTTCCTCTCCCCAGCCTGGCCCCCATCCCCGCCCTACACCGCTGCTCGCTGCGTGCCCTGCAGGATGACGGCGCTGTCGCTGAGCGCCGCACCCGCGCACCCTGCCGGGACCAGCCCGCGCAGCGCACGCGGCAGTGCCGCCGCCGAGGGTATAACCAACCCTGGGCGCCTGCTGGGGCTAGGGCTGGCGCTGGGGATTGGGCCTGAGGTGTTTGGGGCTCCCGGCCCTGCCCAGGCGGCGGCCGCCGGCGCGCCGGCAACTGCCGCTGACTTGGAAGCTGACCTGTCGCCACTCAGCCCGCTGCTATCCAAGTCACAGCTGCGCAAGCTGCAGCGCCGCGCCAGCAGAGGCAGCGGCGGTGGCGGCGGCGGGCCGCAGGAGCTGGGCCTTGGAGCTGCGGCTGCTCTGGCTGTGGCAGCCGGCGGCAGGCACCCAGGGCGCAAGGGCAAGCCCGGCAGGAGCAAGGCGGAGCGGCGGGGCCGTGGCGAGGGCCCCATGCTCGCCGCCGCCGCCGCCGCTGCTGCCAGCGACGGCGAGGTGGAGGAGCAGATGGGCAGCCTGGGTGGCGGTGCTGGCGGCAGCGGCGACGGCGGCGCCGCGCAGGAAAGATTGGCGGCTGGCGACTATGGCGACTTTGAGCGCCACACCACCGGCATCGGCAGCAAGCTGCTGTCCAAGTGGGGCTTTGGCGGGGAGGGCGCGGGCCTGGGGCGCCAGCAGCAGGGCCGCTCCGAGCCGGTGCAGGCGGTACGCCGCGCCAAAGGGCTGGGCCTGGGCGCGGAGCGATGAGATGGCGGCTGCTGTGCATGCTGTTGTTGCGTTCTCGTCCGATGTTGCTTTTCGCTACAGTTGCGTTGTACAATGCTCACCTGTCCTCCCATTGCATGCCGCCAGTGCATGAGCTGTATTCTAGGATCCTTTTGTTGTACTCTTTCGCATCCACGACCCCACAAGTCAGCTGCGCCGGGTAACGCAACGCTGCCAAGAACGCAACACAGACGCGGCATCGCAACAAAGACAAGGTTTGGAGTCTGCAGCCAGGTTGCTGCCTGCTTTCCCGCTCGTGTGCAGATGGTGCAGCAGCGCAGTAACTGGCTGGCTGCATTGCTGTGCCAGGGTGCCCACGGTACCTTGCTGTGTGCCCGCTCGCATCAGCGGCAGCAGTTGCAGCAAACCTCGGAGGTGCCCGCCCGAATCCACAACATTGGTTGCGCCTCCCTGACCGTCCCTCTTGGGCGCTGCGGCCCCAGGGGAGCTGGAGGCCGGCTGGGACTGCTGCCATCCCTCACTGCAGGCCCTGGCGGGCCTCGCACCGCTTCCCCACCGTGCCGGCGCATGCGATTGGGCGTGTTGAGCACGGATAGCGCTTAAAACAAGCCCACTAGGTCGCGTTCTCCTCGAAAGAAAGTCCAGCCGCCATCTGATGGACCCGCCCACTGCCCGCCTGCCTTGCATTTCGCCTTTTGCTCCCTCCCTCCTGGGCCGCCCCGCTTCGCCGATTTCCCTCCCTTTCACTCACTCTGCTGAACAGGAGCTTCTGTGCGTGAACAGCGGCCGGGCCGCCTGCGGGCACCCGAGGCCTCTCCCCCCTCCACTCCTCATGGCAGCCCAGGAGCCCTCTGCCCGTGCCTCGGCACTGCTGAAGAAGCTGGTGCTGCGGCTGGACGATGGCACCGTGATTAAGGGCAGCGGTGGCGGGGAGGGCGGGGCGGCGGTGGCGGTGCTCAAGCCGGCGGAAGCCTACGCTGCGGGCGCGCTCACAGAGGCGCACCTGCTCAAGGCTCAGGCGCTGCTGTGCGAGGTGCACGCCAAGCTGCCCGAGGAGGGAGCGCTGCGCAGCCTTTCGATGGGCAGCAAGCGGTCGGTGGACACCGGCTTTGAGGTGCGTCGCCGCCGTCGCGGCCGCCGCCGCCGCCGCTGCCCGGCAGGCCCAAGTCCCACCCTGTCGCCCCGCTGCCGCCGCCGGCCTTTGTCGCCCGCGATGCGCCGCCGTTTGGCGCGCCTGCCGGCCTGTCGAAGGGCCTGGCCAGGCTTTGCCAGGCGATGCAGCCCATCTTCCCTGCCCCGTCAGTTGGCTCAGCCTTGCCGCTTGCCTTGCCTCACACCGGTGCAGGTCGGGCCCACGGCTTCCAAGCGGTCTCGTTCGCTGGGAGCCTTTGGCAACGGCACGGGTGCGCAGCCGCCTGCCCAGCCCCCCGATTGGCCAGCTGCCTGCCTGCGCGAGCTGTGGCCAACCCGCTGCGGAGGCCTGGGGGCCGCGGGCGCCGCGCATGGGCCGGCGGGGCGCGCGGCAGGCGCTACCCGCCCGCCCCTGCCGCCGCCCCCGGCTCGCCGCGCCGGCTGTCCTGCGTGCTGCTCTACCAGGCTGCCACTGCATGCTCACACGCGTCCCTGCCCGCCCTCCCTCCCCTGCCGCGTGCCGCAGCAGAGGATGTCCTCATGGATTCGCCCACGTCGGCGGACCTCGGTGGCGGCTACCACGCGCCGCCCGCGGCGCCCGCCTACCACGCCCCGCCGCCGCCCGCGCAGCCCGCGTACCACGCGCCGCCGGCCGCGCCGCTGGCGCCGCCGCCCGCGGCCGGGCCCAGCCGGGCCGAGTGGACCGCGGGCTGCAACCGCATCGTGGACAATGTGATGAAGAACCTGGGGCCGGTGGACTCTGCCATCTTTTACGAGCCGGTCAACCCTGCGCAGGTGCGGCGCGGCAGGCGCCCCTGCCAGCAAGCACGGGGCCGGCGCGCGCGGGGCTGCCGTGGCGTGGCTGCCGTGGCGCGGCGGCAGCTTGGGGCGCGGCGCGCCGCCTGGCTGCGCGCTGGCGCTGCCCTCGCCCGCCCGCCCGCCCTGCCTCCCACCTGCATGCCCATCCAGCTCTTGCTTTCCTTGCCCCTCCCCCACCTCCCCGCCAGGTCCCCGACTACTACACAATCATCAAGAATCCTGTGTGCTTCAAGGACATCCGCCAGCGCCTGGCCACAGGGCAGTACGCGGGACCAGAGGCATTTTATGCGGTACGTAGTTCCGCCCGCGCGCGCCGCGTGAAACCTTGCCAACACTTAGCCGTGCGCACCGCGCCCCCGTGCCCGCACCCTCGGCCGAGTCGATGTACCGCCTGTTTACCGCCCGTACCGCTCCCCCTGGTACCGTAGGACATGGACCAGCTGGTTTACAACTGCCTGCTGTACAACCCGGCCGGCAGCTATGTGCGCGGCCTGGGCCAGAAGATCGAGCAGCGCTGGCTGGACAACTGGCGGCGCAACCCGGTGCTGCAGCAGTTCCACGTCACACGCATGCCCAAGCCCGCCGCCGGCAAGCCGGCGCCCAAGTCCAAGGCGGGCGCGCCGCGGCCGCAGCGCTCGTCGGGCGGCGCGCCGCGCCGCGCGCCTCCCAAGGTGCGCCCGCCGGCCGGCTGGAGAGCAGCCGCCGGGCGGAGAGCAGCAGCCGCTGCCCTGCTCGCCGCAACGCTCGCGGCACCGCCGCGGCGCGCCGCTGCCCCGCCGCACCCCGCCCCGCCCACTCGTGGCCTCACCGCTGTCCCCCTCCCTCTGCCTCCCCTTCGCGCAGGCGCAGGGCGGCGGCGCGGCTGCGGCCGCGCGCGTGCCGCGCACCACCTCTGTCCCAACTCCTACAAGCACTACCAGGCGCTGCCCGCGGAGCAGCAGGCGGCGCTGGCGGAGGCGCTGCAGGACGAGGGTGTGCTGGCTGAGAAGATGGACGGCGTGGTGGCCATCCTGCAGAAGGCCAACCAGCTGCCCACCAACGAGGAGGGGGAGGTGGAGCTGGACCTCAGGTGGGGGGCGGGCCTGGGTGCTGGGTGGGTGGGGGCTGGCTGGGTGCGCGGGTGCACGTGCATGTTGTGCGGGCAGCTGGGTGTGTGGGTGCGGGTGGCAGCCTGGCTGGAGCGGGTTCAGGTGGATGCGCCGCGGGCCTGCCAGCGCGCGTGGCGCTGGGGCATGGGAAAACAGGGCGCCGCGCCGCATGCGTGTGCCCGCCGCCGGCCCTCCGCCCCGGCCGGCACGCCCTGCTTCACGTGCCCTCCTCACCGCCGCCGCCTCCCCTGCCCTCCCCTCCCCTCCCCTCCCTCTCACTGCAGCGTGCTGTCCCCTGGCGTGGTGTGGGAGCTGTACGAGTATGTGATTGGGAGGCCGCCCGCGCCGCCGCCCGCCGTGCAGCCCTCCCGCTCCTCCTTCCAGCTGCAAGAGGACTCGGACTATGACCCGTATGGAGAGGAGGAGGAGGACTGAGGGCGGCACAGCCACAGCCACAGCACCAGCCCCGGCCCCAGGATGGGCCACGGGCTGCGTGTGGGCGGCGCGTCCGGGCAGGCGCCGGGAGCGTGTGTGCGGCCTTGTGCGGCCCAGGCCCGCTCTCCTCACCAGCCGCGCGCTGCCCCCCACCTTGCTTTCATTTTTCTGCCGTTCCGAGCCCCGCAGTCTGCAGCTGGGCAGCAGCCGCCAGCCCGCAGCAGCTGCACTCACCGTCGTCGTTTCATGTCCCTTCTTGTCCCGTTACCCGTTCCTTCCTGCCCTCCTAAAAAAGTTACAAAAAAATCGACCGATTCAACCTGCATTGCGCTGCACACCTGTGCCCCGTCCCCCGCTCCGTGTTTGAGACAACACTGCTTTGTGCTGCTCCGCCGGCGGGCGCCCCCCTGGCCCTCGCCGCGGCAGCTCTCTCTCTTCGCCCTGCAACTCATCTGCCGGCAGCCTGGCCCTGCCGGCCCCTCTCTTCCCCCCATGCTGCATGGCTGACAGACTCGTTGACGGGCCTTACCTTCCCTCCCTACCCCACACAACAACAACCCCAGCGCACCCCCAGCTTGCGCCCGACGCGGGATGACCGCACCACCCTGCCACAGCACCCCTCAGCCTCCCATGCTCTGCGCCGATTCGTTGCATCATTTGTAACACGCCACCGGCCCGATGCCAGAGTGAGATCAGGCGCGGCAAGAGGGAGGGCGCAGGGGAGGGGCGGCCAGCGGGCAGGCCGCTCAGGGCGCCGGCGGCTGCCCGGGGTGCTTGATGGGCCGGCCTTGCACCCACACTTGCACGATGTGGCGGTCGTCCCCGCAGCACAGAAACTTCTCCACCTGCTCCAGCGGGGAGCTCTGCGGGAAGAGGTCGTAGGCGGCGCCGCAGCCGCCATCCACCAGCAGCGCGTCAAACTGCTGACCTGGCGCCAGCGTGCCCACCCGATCCTGCACCGGGGGCAGGCGTGCGGCGAGGAGGGCGGGCCGGCAGAGGTGGGGCTTGGGGCCAGCGCCTGCATGTGCGCGCGATGGGCCAGGCGTCGAGGGCAGAGCCAGAGGCCGTCCACACGGCGGCGCAAGCGCCGTCCGCCCACGCACCAGCCCCAGCGCCCGTGCCCCTCCCACGGTGGCCAGCCACAGCGCGTCCCGCCAGCTCAGCGAGTCGGGGTCGCCCTCCTGCTGCAGGCGCAGCGCCAGGGCTGCCGGGTCGGGCGCCGCGGCGATGCGCTGGGCACGCAGCGCGCGAGATGCGACCACAGCGGCACGCTGCGCTCCCAGCATGCTGATGTCGTAGCCGCCGGCGACGTCGGTACCCAGGCCAACCTGCGGCGGGCGCGGGGCGGGGGCAGGGCAGAGCTGTGTCGCATGAGGCTGACGGCACGCGCCTCTCTGCTGCCCGGCCCCGCCACCACCAGACATGCAGGCCAACAGGCACCGCAACCCCTGCCATGCCAGGGCCCACAGGCTTGCCGGCTCCAGCACCTGCTCAGCAGGCCTGCCGGTGCCGCCACCCCGGCCTCCCGCCCACCTTGAGCCCCCGCCTGAGCAGCTGCGCCACCGGCAGCACGACATCGGCGAAGAAGGCGTTGGAGAGGGGGCAGTGGGCAACGGCGGAGCCGCGGGCCGCCATCAGCGCCACCTCAGCATCGCTCAGCAGCACGCCGTGCGCAAACACGGCCTGCAGGGCGCAGGCGGCCGGGCCAGGCGGCAGGCACGGGTGGGCGGCAAGCTCGGAGCAGGCAGCATGCGGTGCTGGGCAAGGCAGTGTGAGAAGCCGTGCGGGCACGGCGCGGCGCAGCACCCAGGGAAGCACGCTGCAGCAGCTCGCCTTGCTTGTCAGCAGGCCCGCGGCATCAAACATCTCCGCCTCTGATGCCCCCTGCCCGGCCTCCTCCAGCTGCCCCACAAATTCCACCTCGTCGTAGCTCTCCCGGATGTGGCTCTGTACCGCCACGTCGTACCGCACCGCCAGCTCGCCCAGCGCGCGCAGCAGCACGGGGGTGCAGGTGGGCAGGAAGCGGGGCGTCAGGGCGGGCTCCAGCCGCGGCAGCTGCTTGGCGCGCACGTAGCGGATGAAGGCCTCTGCACTGGCCGCCGCCTGCTCCGTGCTTTCCACGTACAAGTCGGGGCCGCCGTGGCGGTCCATGGACACCTGCAGGCGGGAGGGCGGTGAGGGGGCTGGCTGGCGTCACGCCAGATGGCAGCAGGGAGGAACCAGCAGCGACCGTGGCAAAGAGTTCCGTCATACGGCACCAGCTTTGCTCGGAGCAGGCACAGGGGGGAGGCGGGGCGGGGGCGCCAGGCTGGGCGCGCCAGGGCCACGCCGCAGGCCGCGTGTTGGGGGGCCCACGCCCCCGCGCAGACGCGCCTTGCCCACAAACGCCCGCATGCCCGCCTCCTCCAGCAGGTCTGCCAGCAGTTGGCAGGGCTCGAGGTGCAGGGTGGCAAAGAAGAGGGCGGTGGTGGTGCCGCAGGCGACCATGCGGCAGATGAGGCGGGAGTAGACGCGGCGGGCAAAGGAGGGGTCCGCTGCGAAGCGGGCCTCTGTGGGGAAGGTGTACTGCGGGGCAGGCGGGCGGGCAGGCGGGCAGGCGGGCAGGTGGGCAGATTTCGAGTTTGACGGGCAGGGTGGACACGCGCGTGGGAGGGATGCAGGACAGACTTGCACAGCGCAGGCGTTTGCTGGAGCCCCTCAGCGCAGGCGCCGCACCTTGGTCAGCCACGCCATCAGCGGGGTGTCTGTGGCGGTACCGGCATAGCTGTACTGGGAGGCGTGGATGTGCGTATCGCAGAAGCCCGGCAGCAGGAACTGGTTGGCCTGCCGGGGTGTGAGGCAGGCAAGGGCCTCAAGGCGGGGTGGATGCGCTGCAGGCGCCTGAGCTTTGGCTGGCATGAGCTCACGTAGGAGAGCACGTGGCTGCATCGACAGACACAAAGACCAAGAGCATGCACCCAGCGCAATCCGCACCTCGAGGCGCAGCACGTCCTCTGGCCGCCCGGCATGCGCCGCCAGGCACGCCGCCTCCTGGCTGCCAGGCACCACGGCGGTGATGGTGCCGGCCTCGTCCACGGCAACCAGCTGGTCCGGCAGCAGTTCCACCTCGCCACGCACCGGGGTGTGCACGAGAGTGCCCCTCACAAACAGCGGTGGTGCAGGTTTTTGCGTGCCGGTGCTCATTTGAACGAATTAAGATCGCTCTCGGTACCGGGATCAGTCGATGACAATGCACCGCATGTTTCAGAGCCGCACCGGAGAGCCCTAGCCCGCCGCGCACGCTGTGCTCGGCCGCCGCCCTTCCCTGCCGCCAGTGGGAGGTGGTCATTCTCTGCTCTGAGCACTGTAATTGGAAGCATGCTTCTCCATTAAACGTTGTCCAAATGATCAGATGCCGGGAGGCCCACCGGCGAAGCCACCTGTGGACACAAGCCGGCAACCGCCTGCAGGCAGCAGCAGACCGAGACAGCGGTTGGATGCCATACTAGCAAGGAACCGGCAGCCTGCTCCACAAGCATGCTGTGTTAGGCCTCTTCGATGCACGCTGTTGGTGTATGCTGGCATGGTGCGCCTCACTGCCGAGTGCCGCGGGTACAGGCGGTGCTGCCGCCCCCAAGAAAACTCGCGCCATCAGCACGCCCGGAAGCATCGATCGCCCTGCATCTGTCCACAATGTCGATCGCCAGGGCGCTGCTGCTCGCCGCTCGGCGCTGCAGCGCTGCCAACCTGCCCAAGCTGGGCGCGCAGCAGGCCCTGGTGGCCGCCCTGCAAAGCCAGCAGACGGCATTTCCACATCAGCCGGTGCCAGTCTTGTGGCGGCAGGCCCGTGGGTTTGCGGCTCCCGGCGGCGCCGGCGGCGGCGGCGACGCAGAAAAGCCGCGGCAGCCAAAGGGCGATGACGAGCCAGCGGCGGAGCGGCCCCTGGCGTCCAAGGTGGCCGACACCGAGGAGCGCCAGGCCGCCAGCAGCGCAGCCGCCGCAGAAGCGGGCGGCGAGCCGGCGCCGCTGGGGAGCGGCGGGCCAAGCCTCGGCACGCAGCACCCTGAGCTGCAGCAGTACATCCAGCAGCTGAAGCAGCTCAAGGGTGCGCTGCGGGAAGTGGGGTACCCCCACCCTCAGCTCCTCCCCTTGGTCTGCATTTCCGAGTGCCGGCGCTAGGCGCGGCCCGCAGGCTGGCTGCTGCAGTGGCCCCGAGCCGGTCGGCGGCTGGGTGCCGTGGCTGCTTTGGGGGGCAACACAGATGCGACTGGCTGCCCCCAACTGGCTGCCTGCCGCGCCCCCCGCAGGTTCCAGCACGGTGCTGCAGCAGGAGGTGGGGGATGAGCCGGCGTGGTGGCAGACCCTGCTGCGCGCCATGCTGGGCCAGTGGCTGCAGGGCTGGATCGGGTGAGCAGCGGCCAGGCTCCCCGCCCCGCCCTGCCGTGCCCCGCACCGCCCTGCCCTGCCCCGCCCTGCCCAGCCCCACCCCGCCCCGTCCCGTCCCGTCCTGCCCTGCCCTGCCCTGCCCTGCCGTATTACTTGTGCCTGCGCACCTCACCTGCCCTGCATGCGAGCCTCCTGCTCCTCTGCCGGCCCGCCAGCCTGCCGCTGCTGTTGTGGCGCCACACCGCCCGCCGCCGCCGTCGGCACCGCCGTCGCCGCCGCCCCTCTGCAGCGAGTTCCTGCGGACGCGGGTGGAGCGGGAGTTTGAGGTGGAGGAGGTGCTGGAGGGGGCCAAAGATGCCTACTACATAGGTACGGTACAGTGCAGTACGGTACAGTACGGTGTGGGGGGGCGGGGTGGGTGCCTGGCCTGGGCCGGCATGATGTCACCAGACGTGTTTTGGCTCCACGCCCCCGCTCTGCCCTCCTCCTGCGCACCCTAGTAGTGTGTTTAAATTTGGGCTGCCTGCCGTGTTGCACACGTGGCGCCTGCAGTGCATAAGCTGCTGGAGGAGGAGGACTGGGAGACGCTCAGGAGCATGATGTCGGGTGCGGCGCCCCGCCCCAGCTCCCTGCCCGTGTGCCGCCCCGCAGGCGGCGGTGCCTCTGGCCGGCCGTGCCGCGCCCGGCCTGACCCTGCGGGGCTGCCGTGCGGGCACCCCGGGCCCGGTCCCCGCCCTGCGGCGCCTCGCACCAACCCCCCGACACCAGCCCCCAGCCCCTCCCTGCCCTGGCCTCTGCCCGCCGCTGCTCCCCACCCAACCTGCGGCCCGTGCCCGTGCCCTGCCCTGCCCTGCCCCTGCCCCGCCCCGCAGCCAAGCTGTTTGCGGCGTTCCAGGACACGGTGGCGGCGTACAAGGCAGACGGCCTGGTGTGGCGCACCGCCATCTCCCAGGACCTCCAGGCCGGCATCCGCGGCCTGGCCTTTGCCACCAAGCAGCAGATGGAGACATATGATCCGGAGCAGGTGCTGGGGGGGGGAGCAGAGGGGGGGAGAGGAGACGGGGGAAGAGGAGAGAGGGTGAGCTGCGGCGGTGGCGGTGTGTGTGTGTGTGTGCGTGTGTGTGTGTGTGTGGTGCGTGTGTGTGTGGTGCCTGCAGCTGGCACACCGCGAGGGGTGGCTGGGAGTCCCCCCGGCGCTCGCCTGCGGGTAGCGGGGCGCCTGCCAGGCTGCAGCCGCCTGCAGGGAGCCTCGTGCCCGCTGGGCGCTGGCTGGGCGCCTGCCCCGCGGCATGCCTGCCCCACTGCACTGGCTGCGAGCGCCGGCCTGCATCTGTGGCTGTGGCCCCCGTGCAGGCGGCGCTTGCTCCCGACGACGCCGGCGCGCTGGCGCGCCCCGCGGGCATGTGGCTGGTGCTGACGGTGCAGCTGCTGGGGGAGCAGCGGGTGACCATCACGCGGCAGGAGGATGGGCAGGTGGTGGCGGAGCTCAGGCGCGCGGGGGTGGTGGGTGGGGTGGGGTGCCTGGGTGGGGGCTGCGCGCTGGACAGCGGTGGCTGGGTGTGTGGGGTTTGTGTGTTGCGGGGAGGCTCGCACAGAAAAACGCGTGCTTGCTGTGGGCCGGGCTGCCCCGGCCAGCAGCCCGGCAGCCTGCCCAGCTGGGCATGGGGGTGGAGGCCTTGTGTGGCTCCCGGACCTCGGCCGCGTGCCGTGGGCCGGCCCTTCCCTCCCAGCCTGGGGAACCTAGCCCGCCGTGTTGCCGCCGCCCACCCGCGTGCCGCCTGGCGCCGCCCGCCCGCCCGCCCGCAGGGACCGACGCCCGGTGCGGTGGAAGTTTGCGCGGGGCCCGCTGCCCGCCAGCCTGCCTGCAGACCGCCTGGACGCAGACTGGTTCCTGCTCAGCATCTGAGCGCCGCAGGCAAGCCGGCGCGCACGCCCCGCACGCCCCGCGGCTCTGGGCAGGCCGCGCTCTGGGCTGGCCGCCTTCCCCACCTGACGGGCAGCAGGCGCGGCCGGGTCGCGACGCCGTGGCCCGGCAGCCGCGGTGCGGGTGCGCTGCACTTGTAGCACCACCACCAGGCCCTGTAACTGCCAGCACTGCTCACTTGGACCTCCAGAACCTGCCAAACGTGCCTGACAGATGCGTAGCGCCGGGGGCGGCAAGGGTAGGCAAGGGTAGGCTAGGGTAAGCAAGCAGCAGCAGGCAGGCATGTGCACGCCAGCGCCCTGCCTGGCGCCCGCTGCTCACTTCTTCTTGCCGCCGCCAAACAGCCGGTCCAGCGTGTTGCTCTGCGCCGCAGCCGGCGCCTTGCCGCCCCTCTTGCCGCCCGCCGCCGCCGCCGCCGCCGCCTGCTGCTGCCTGGCGAGCGAGGCGGCTGTGACAAAGGCGGGAGGGCCGGCGGCGGCTGCTGCTGGATTCTCCTTGCCGCCCTTCTTGGTGCGCCAGCCGCCGTTGGCGGCAGCCGCCGCCGCCGCCGCCTGCATCTGCCGCGCGCGCGCCGAGCCCGCGGGCTGCTGCCGCTGCCCGCTCCCGCTGCCGCCACCGCCTTGCTGCCCCGGAAGCAGCGTGGAGGCGGGCTGGAATCCCTGCGGGGGCTGGCGGGCCGCCAGCCGCCGGCCGCCGCCGCCGCCGCGCGCCGCCGGCTGCTGCTGCGCGGGCGGCCCGCAGCACACGTCGCACGCGGCGCCGCAGCTTCCCTGCTGCCACCTCTCTCCAAAATATTCCAGCACCTGCGCGTGGCGGCACCTCTCTCCATCCTCACAGTACGCCTGCATCTGCGCCGCGGTACGGGCGGGGGGGTGCGGGCAGGGCGGGCAGCGCGGCTGGGCTGGGGCGGGCTTGCGTGTGGCGGGGCAGGGCGAGGCGCGCCGGAGACGGCGGCAGGCTGCAGTCCGGACTGGAGCCGCCGCAGCAGCAGCCCATGCATACGCACACACAGCCACATGTGCACACAGGGCATGCAGGCCCACCCACCGTCCCACACATGCCCCGCCCACCTGCTTCAGTAGGTCTAGTTCCCGCTGGAATGACTGCTTGGCCCGCTTGGCACCCTTGTGAAGCAGCTGCACGATGCGCGGTACGTCCCGCTTGGCATAGTACAGCAGGCACTCGGCGGGGCCGCCGTCCCGCCCTGCGCGCCAGGGGGCAAAGGGGCGGCGCCGGCCGCGGTGGGAGGGAGCGCGAGGCGAGCGCGGGCGGGGGGGCGTGCGGCGGTGCTGCGTGGCCGCCGCTGGCGGGCCGGCAAGGGCACACACACACACACACACACAATAAAGCAGACACACACACAATAAAGCAGCACAAAACAGCACGCACGCATGCCCACGCCGCGCATCGGCAGCCGCGCCCGCCCGTCTCGCCCACCTGCCCGCCCAGCTTCCTGGTAGTACCCCTCCATGGACTTGGACAGCGTGAAGTGGATGACGTACCGCACATCCGCCTTGTCCACGCCCATGCCAAACGCGATGGTGGCAACCACCACCTGGCGCGGGGCAGGGCGGGGCAGGGCGGGGCAGGACGGGGCAGGGCGGGGCAGGGCGGGCGGTGCTGGTGTGCAGCGGATGGTGCTTGCGGTGATGTGGTGTGGTGCGGTGTGGTGCGGTGTGGTGATGTGTGGTGTGGTGTGGCGTGGGCAAGGCAAGGCAAGGCAAGGCAAGGCAAGGCGAGGCGAGGCGAGGCGAGGTGAGCGCACCTGCACCCGCCCCGTGCGCCAGTCGTTCTGAACCTGCATGCGCTGCTTGGGCGTCATGCCTGCATGCACGGCCGCGCTCTCAGGGACCATTGCACTGCTGGCTGCCGTGCGGAGAGCGCCCCGGCACCCGGTACGGGCAGGCAGGCACGCATGCAAGCGGGCGTATAGGGTAGGTGCCTGCTGCCTTGTAAGGAGAGGTCCGCGGCATTCGGCATGCGCAGGCGCGCAGGCAGGCAGGCGTATAGGGTGGGTTCCTGCTGCCCGGTGCGTGCGGCGGCGCGCCTGCGTGGTAGTGAGCGGCAGAGATGTCTGTCAGCTCCCGGATCTGGGCCGCCACGGTCTCGGTGTTGTCGCGGGACAGGCAGTACACGATGCCGCTGCCCTCGCGGTGGTTCCTGCGGTACCGCGGGGAGGCGGGGGGGCATGGGCAGGGTGCTGGCTAGCCACTGCCACCGGCGGCCCATGTGCGGGGCCTCGCATGCACACTGGCCGCCGCCTGTGCGGCAGCCTGCACCGCTGCGTGGGCGGCCGCAGCTAGGGCGCCGAGGCAGCTAAGGTAGGCAACAAGGGGATGGTGGCAGGAGGCGGTACCGCCTCACTGGATGTACACCATCATCTCCTCCATGTACCCCTCCAGCCCGCTGTCCTCGCTGCGGGTGTAGTCCTTCTGCAGCACACAGCACAGCATAGCACAGCACAGCACAGTGCAGCATGCTGTCAGTCGGGGGACAGATCAGCCAACAAGGCCAGGGGACAGGCCGCAAGGGGCTGGGAGCACGCTGCTGCACGGGGCGCCGTCACTGCTGCTGCGCGGGGCGCCTTGCCTTGATGACTCTGAAGCACAGGTTGGGCCTGAAGAAGGAAACCTGGAACTGGCGGGGGGCGGCCATGTGCAGGGTGCTCATGATGTCCTGGCGCACCTGCACGGGAGGCGAGGGAGAGGCCAGGAGGGCAGCGCGTGGTATGAGGCGTGTGTGGTGTGGGCAGGTGCAGGCGTGGGCGCGGGGTGCTGCGCCATGCGCGCTCCAGATCATGCTCGGTGCGGCCAGCACCAAAGCCACAAGCACAAGGCGCAGCGAGCGAGGCAAGCAGGGGCGGGCGTGGGCGGCGGCGCGGCGGACCTTGGGCGTGGCGGTGGCTGTGAGGGCCATCATGGGCACGCCCCGCAGGCAGCTGCTCTTCACCGCGCCCAGCTGCTTGTAGTCAGGCCGGAAGTCTGCAGGCGCGGGGCGTTTGAGGGGCGAGGCAGGGAGGGTGGGAGGCCCAACATGGTTTGGGTCAGTGAGTCGGTGGGTGCCGCCATGCGCCAGGCGGGGGTGGGGGCGGCTCAGCCCTGTGCACAAGGCATAGGCGAACAACAGCCCAGCCCAGCCCCGGCCCCAGCATTGCCCACCACCCAGCCAGCCCAGCCTTGGCTCACCGTGCCCCCAGGCGCTCACGCAGTGCGCTTCGTCCACCACCAGCCTGGCCAGAAGGCCGTGGCTGTGCAGCGCGCTGCGGGCAGGGGGAGGGCCGGGAGGCGGGCGGGCACACCGACCAGCATGCACGCTCAGCCTGCCTGCCAATGTTTCCCTGCTCACCTTTAGCCACAGCGAGGCGCATGCATGCACGCCACTGGCTCCGCATCCCAGCCCCTGCTGCGCCAGCGGCACACAGACGCCACAGCGGCGCCCGGCCCAGCGGCCTGCCACCGAGCGGGCCACTGCTGGTCAGGCGTGGCGCAGCGCGGCCCTCTGCTGCCCCCACTCACCGCAGCGCGCCCTTCAGGCGCTCTCCCCTGACCAGCTGCTCCGGCGTGACGTACAGCAGCTTGATGGTGGGCCGCGCCTTGCCCAGCTCCAGAAACACCGCCTGCGAGGAGCGGGGCAGGGCGCGAGGGCAGCGCTGGGTTCGGCTGGGTTGAGGGCTGCTGCTGAGGTGCGGGTCAGGGCTCAGGAGGCGCACGAGGCCAGCCCGCCAGCCTGCCAGCCGGCCAGCCGGCCAGCCGGCCAGCCAGGCGCAGGCGCCCACCCTGGTTTCCGCGACGGTCTGCTGGGAGCTGAGGTAGGTGGTGGGCACGCCGCCCGAGGGCAGCAGCGTCAGCGCCTGAACCTGGTCTTGCATCAGCGACAGCAGCGGCGTGACCACCACTGCAAAGGTCGAGGTAGGGAGAGGGACAGAGGCGCAGCACACTCGAGACATCTTGATAGGCCACAGGTACGGGCGCAGGCACAGGCACAGGCGCAGGCACAGGCCAGGCGCCGCCGCAGGCGCAGCCGCAGGCGCAACCCAGTGGCGCAAAAGGTGCGCAGGCGGTGCGCGCGCGCACCCGTGACGCCCGGCGTCAGCACCGCGGGCAGCTGGTAGGTGAGCGACTTGCCGCCGCCGGTGGGCATCAGCACGAAGCAGTCCCTGCCGCTGAGCGCCGCCTCGATGATCTGGCGCTGCTCGCTGCGGAAGGAGCTGTTGCCAAAGACCTTGAGATTGGCATAGTCCAGAAGATCCAGGTGCTGCTCCTGGGCAGAGGCCGGCCGCGCAGCCGCCGCCGCCAGCAGCTGGCGCTCCGAGGGTGGCGGCGGCGGCGCCAGCGCCGCGTTGCTGGGCACGCCCCGGGGCAGGCGCTGGAAGAACGCCTCGATGCTGGGCCCTCGGGAGGGCTGCCCCGACGGCGTTGGCGCGTGCCGCGCGGCGACGCCGGCGGACGCGGGGAAAGGGAGGCGCCGCTTGCCTGCGGTGGATGGGCGGCGACGGGCGCGCGCCGCGGCCGGCGCCTCCTCCTCGCTGCTCTCCTCAATGCCCTCCACCTCCCCAGCCGCCGCTGCCAGCTCATCCAGCTCATCCTCCCCAGCCACGACCGCCTCCACCACCTCGACGTCTGAAGCAGGCAGCGCAGCGGTGCTCAGGTCAGGGGGGAGCGCACAACCACGGCCAGTGGGTGCTGGAGGCATAGGCAGGTGTATGGCGGGCAGCTGGCATGTTTTTATGTGCTGCTGAGCCGACCGGCGCCTAGTAGAGCAGCTGGCTGTGCGGCGGGTCAGCGCCAAGGGCCAGCACCCACCAGAGCCGCCGGTGCCCGCAGCCTCTCCCATCTCCTCGTCCTCCTCGCTGCTCTCCACCACCACCACCTCGCCCCCGCCGCCGCCCCGAGCCTCTTCGCCGCCGCCGCCGCCGCTGCCGTCCTCGCTGCCAGATGATCCGCTGTAGCTGTAATCTGGCTCCTCATCATCGTCCTGATCTCCCAGCTGCCGCTCATCCCCACCGCCTGCAGCAGCGCCGCCAGAGTCGGCAGCGCCTTCCTCGTCGTCAAGGCCGCCGCCGCCCTGCTGCTCCGTCATCAGCCAGTCCAGAAACTCGCTGACGGCGGCATCGGTGAAGGGGACCTACAGTGCCACAGGAGGCAGCACGCAGCCCCGCAGCCCTGAGGGCGCGCCACGCAAAGCGAGCAGGGGGGCGGCAGGCGGGCGGACGCCTGCGGCCAGCGCAGCCGGGTGCACCACCTGCGACGCCGTCTGCTTGCGGTGCCGCAGGAACTCGTCAAAGCCGCCATACAGGGCATCCTCGCCGATCGTCTCGCGGTAGCCAAAGTCGTCCAGGATCGTCTCCACCACCCGGTGCTTCATGTTGACTCAGCTCGACTCGAGCAGAGGCGCCCGCCCGGCGTCGCCGCCGCCACCAACACTGCCCGGCGTGCACGCTCACGCGCCGCCACCCTGCTCCGCCAATGGTTCCGTGGTGCGACCACTCGTGACCGCCTTTGTGTAAAGCACCACAGCTGTACACGAATCAAACCGGGCAAAGTTGTTGTATCACCGATGATAGCAGGAAGGGGTCCTCAAACGGCGGCGCACGTTCGTGAGTTGAACAACGCTTAGTGTGCAGCAGGTCTTTGCTTTTGGGAATGTGGCAGCGGGCGCAGCACAGAGGCCATGTCGCGGTGGCGGCAGCAGCGCTCCGCTCGCTCTCTTTGCCCGTCTAGTGTGTGGGCAACGCACTTTCTGATGCCACTTCCAGCTGCTGTGCTGGTGACGCCGCCACTCACCGGGCAAGCGCAGCGCGGTGGCAGGGCGTCGGAGGGCCGGGGTTCTGACATCTCCGTGCCGCTGTGCCGCTGTGCTGATGCAAGTTTATAACCCACTGGCACGGTGAACAACGGCAAGAGCTGCAGGTAGACGATCTCTTTGATCAGTGTGTGCAAATTCAAGCTTGGCCCAACTTTGCGGCCTGCGGTCATGCAAGGCTGGCGTCCAGGTGGCGGGAGGCAGCGGAGGGCATCAGGAGGCAGCCTTTGGGCTCAGGCGTTTGCCGACTATAACCTTGGGAAATCCCTGTTTAGCCTAGAACTGCTGCTGTGCAGGGGGCACACTCTCCAGCCGAGTCGGCCTCCGGGCCCGCCGAGTTTTGGGTGCCCGCAATGCCCGCTCGCTCCGCAACTCCCATAGATGTTGAGAGCGATGAAGCCAAGGCCGAATACTGGTGGCGGCGCTGCCAGGAGGCATTCGCTGCCGCTGCCGCTGCTCGTGCAAAAGCTGACGAGCTGACTGTCAAACGGTTGGCTAGGGAGGAGGCGGAGCGCGCTGAGGAGGAGCAGAGGCAGAAGGAGGCCGCCAGGATAGCAGCGGTAAAGCTCCTTAAGGAGGCGCAGCGCGTGGCGGCGCGAGTGGCGCAGAGGCCGCCCTCCGGTGAGTTGATGTGGGGCAGGGCTGTCTGGCCGCTGTGGGCTTGTTTGTCGGAATGCGGCAGTGGCACGGCCCATACGCTTTGGGCCAAGCCCAGGCTAAAGGCACGATGCACGCACACCACTGCCGAAACCGCCAGCACTCACCGGCCATATGCCACCCCGCCCGCAGCCGTCGACGAGCGCAAGAAGAAGCAGTGACGGGGCCGGCAGGCGGACGAGCACCCGTGGGTGGAGCTCAGCTCTGCTGGCAACCTGCTGCAGCGTCAGAGAGACATTCAATGTGTTCGAGGATGCCAGGTGCTCCACGATGCTGATGCGGAGCTTGAAACGGCTGCCGCCACGGTTGCGCTGTGCCCCTGCCTAGTGCTGCGTTCGTGCCTGCCTAGGGTCACACATCAACACATTATAACGTCAAAACTTGCGTTGCGGTCCACCTGTCTCTACGCTGACGCCGCTGGCCTAGCTGGCGAATGGTCGGCCTGCCTCCTCACTCCGCATCCAGGGGTGCGCTGTGCACCGTGCCCCTGCGGTAGATGCCCAGTCCCGGCCTGCCAGGCGCTGCCGCGCCGTAGTAGGCTGGGTCCAGCGGCGGCGCGTCATCCGCAGTGAGCCAGAGGCGGAGCAGGTGCCGCCGGTTCTCAAAGCCCGGCCAGTCCTCGTAATGGGTGCGCATGTGCAGCTGGTTCCTGCGCGGGCAGGGAGCAGGAGCGGTACGAGGGTGGGCCGTGAGGGGCGCAGCGCGCCGCACGACCCAGGCGGCGCCGCGGCCGTGCTGCCCTGCTCCACCAACCAGCCTACTCCGCCAACCGACTCGCCAATTGTACAACAGTTGCACATCGCCGGGCTCCAACTGCCACTCCAGGTGCAGGTCTGGCTGATCCGCAATGTCGGACACGGCCTGGAGTGCCTGCAGGACAGGACGCCGAGGGCAGGAAGCGCAGGGGTGGCGGGCACTTCAGCTGGCGGTTGGGGAGGAGCAGGTGGCACCAGCGTGCAGCGCCCTGCATGCCCCTGCGTCCCCAATCACCTCCAACATCTTAGGCGTGAGGCGCGGCGTACTGGGGTGGCGCTGCGGGGACGTGAGGAGCGGAGAAGGCAAAGGGGTCAACAGGAGCAACGTTCCCCGCCCGGCCGCAGCGGCCCCTCCTTGCCTGCGCCTCCTTCATCATGCGCGGGTTGTAGAAGCAGGCGAAGTGGCCTTTGTAGAATGAGAAGACGGGGAGCAGCCTGCGAGGTGCAGGGCATGTGAGACCGCCATCTGTGCTTCACCGCACCAGCAGTGCGAGCAGAGCGATGCGAGAGCGTGGCCAAGGGCTGGCTGGCTGCTACCGCACCAGTAGGGCACGTCCCCCGGGTCCTCCTCATTCTTGCGGTCAAAGGCAAAGGGCTTCATCAGCTCCTGTGGGGTGAAGTGCGGGGCAGAACGGCGCTGGAAACCGGTGGCGCACCCGCAGCGTGCCCATTGCACTCCATTGCACTCCACCATCACCACCCACCACCGCTACCAGCCCGCACCTCCGCCAGGTCGGGCCGCGCCTCTAACAGGCGGTTGTAGACCGAGGCAGAGGAGACCCAGCCGGAGCGGCCGCCCGACCGTGCGGTCTTGAGGCAAAGCAGCGCCACCAGCTCGGTGTCGTCCACGTGCCAAGGCTGGGGGGGTGTTAGAAGGCTCGGTCAGAACGCTCATGAGGTGCTCAATGCAGCTATGCAGACACCCTCCTCATTCGCCCCACGCCCCCACACCTGCGCAGCGTGCGTGGCGTACACGCGCACGTCATCGTCGTCTGGGTCGAGGCCCAGGTCTTTGACGTGTCCGAGCACGTGGCCCTTCGCATTCTGGCTGACCGGCGTGCCCCAATGCAACCCAAAGCCGAACCAAGCAGTCGCAGCCTCCGCCTGCGAGAGCCGGTCCACCGGGAAGCCTGCGAAAAGCGCGGCGTCGGCAAGGCAGCAACGAGCCGGCGGAGTCAGCGCTGCAGTGCCAGCGGTGGCAGTCGAGCGGGCAGCAATAGCGGGCGGGAGCGGGCGGGCAGCAGTCGCGCACCGCGCAGAACCACGAAGCCGCGGCCCCAGCAGGCCTCCCGAGCAAACCGCTCCAGATGTGGGCCAAGCGTCGGCAGCGGGAAGTCGGCCTTGCTCAGCTCCTGTGCGGTGGGGGAGGGGGCCAGGTGGAGACAGAAGTGAGCACGGGCTGGCGTGCAGCGGCGGGGCAGCCGCCGGCAGTGTTGCACGGACCGGGATGGGCTTGCCAGTGTCAACCGCGTGCCTGGTGGCCGCCACAATCTCGTCCACCTCCGTCGGCGACAGCTGGTACGCCCACTCGCTCGGGTCGAGCGTGGCGGGCGTCCAGGCCGCTGGGCCCACGACAGGCTGGCCCGGCAAGGCTCCGCCCCCCGCCTTCCTGGCAGCCGCCGCCACGCCCTCAACCATCGCGGTCGCCGACGTCTGTGCCATGCGTTTCAGGCGCAGTGCGCGATGCGCGCGGATCTGGAAACGGCTGCACAGGCGGGCGGCCGGGTGGGGTAGCGCCAGCGGGGCAGCAGGCAGGGCCGCTGCAACTGCGATGAATGTGCGCGCCATATTCCAGGACACAAGGTTAAGAGTTTGGTGTGATGAGTTAGCCGCAATTAGCAGGCAAAGTGCAATCACGCACAGCATCTGCCGGAACGAAGCCGCGTGTTCATGCCGCCGCACCTGCGCCCCCCAATCATTACCCTGCAGGCTGCATCCTCTTAGGGCCATCTCCATGTCTGACGACGGCAGCGGCAAGGCCTCCAAGCTCGATGGCAAACCATCGGTCTCCTCTGAGCTCGCAGAGGTGGGCCGGAAGGCCTCTCCATCGGCTGATTTTCGAGGACCCGATGGCACGATTGCGACGGAAGTGGCGCGGGCCGAGCTGGAGCTCGTGGACAAGCACGGCGTGGCGAAAGGTACGGCGCCGGCGCTGTCTGTCTGTCTGTTACACCCATAAGGAGCAAATGAATGCTACGGGCCCAGCTGTGGTGCAGCAGCTGGAAAGGTGAAGGCACCATACACAAACGGCGAGAGAGAGGGGAGGGGTGGGGTGCAGACAGAGCAGGGGGGAGAGGAGTCTGATTGGGGCGGGTCTCCCTGGGGGACAGTGCGGACAGGCGCCTGAGCAGCCCTATGCCGGTCCCGCAAGAGAGTTCACCGCCCCTTCCTCTTCCCCTTGCCCTGCACAATATAAAGATCAATCAATCAAGGGTACTGTGCTACTGTGGGCTCATGGCGTCCCGCGCCTTCTTGCGGCCTGCAGCCGCCAGGGCTGCCAGCTCGGTGCTGCTCTGCTGGAAGAATGCGCTGAGGGGGACGGACGCCGGCGGCAGGCCCAGGAACTCGTGGAACAGCTCCGGCCAGCACTCGCGCTCGGCGGCATACAGGGGGCACACAAACAGGAGCTAGCAACCTACACCCTAGTGCTGCTCCAACCTCCCGCCACCGCCGTCGCCGCCAGACGAATCCTTGCCACATGCGGCTGCAAGAGTGTATTTGGTGTTGCGACGTGGCAGGCTGCAGTGCCGCCGTCCCAAACGCTTGGGCCAGCGCAGCCGTCAGTGGCCTCAGTGCTGAGGGTGCTAGCGCAGCTTTGACGGTACGTGCAACACACGTGCCGCCCAAGTTGTGTGTTGCAGCTACCGCTGACCGGCTGCGGTGTGCCAGCTGCTGTGGCAGCTGGCTTTGCCACCCTATAGTTGGCCAACAGCCCAGCCTCGACAGCGGGCGGCGAACATAAGTATGGAGCCTCTCGCCGCTCAGCGCCCGCCCGCTGGCCGCTCATCTTCCACTCCGCCGCCGCCCAACCCCATCACCGCCCCATCCATGCCTGCTCCGCGCAGGCGTCTACTCAGAGGAGCGCGTGCCGACGCCTCAGTCCCTGGGCGGCAAGCTCTCTGGCTGGCTCAAGTTTCTGGCCTGGGAGGGTGGCAGCACCTTCGACGCCTTCTTCACATGCGCCTCAGCCCAGGCACGCCAGCGTTGCGCGCCCGACCGCCCGCTCTCCGCTTGCCTTCCGCCGCTGCTGCCCGCTGTATTATTTAGGAGCCGCACTCCAACGCGACCCCTGCCCTTCCCGCAGGTGGGCCAGGTCATCCTGTCCTTGCCGCACTCGTTGGCGCAGACGGGCATGGTGGCGGGCATCATCATACTGCTGTTGTTCGCCAGTTTGGCCATGTGGACGGTGTATCTCATGGTGGTGCTCTACCTCGACAACAAGAACCGGAAGATTAAGGCGGGGACCTGGTGCGAGACGCAGCACGACGCCTGCTGCACACCTCACTGCACCTGTCGCCCGCCCGCCGGCGGCGCCCGCATGTCCCGCCCGCCGATCAGCGCCGAACGCTTGCTTCTCCGCCCCACAGGTACGACAACGGAAACAAGCGCAAGATCGCGACGCAGTACCACGAGGCAGGTTGAGGCAGCGGGCAGGAGCGACGCCGGCAGCACTGCCGGCCGGCGGCGAACGCTTCCATCCGCCGCCACTCGCTGTTTGCACCGCCCAGCTCATGCTCCCGCTTCCCCGTGCACGCACTGTGCTGCCTGCCAGGTCATGGAGAACGCCACCTACTGCTGGGTGGGCATTTTCTCGCGCATCGTGGTTATCATCGCGCTGGGCGGGCTCGCGGTGGCGCAGATCATCGCTTCCAGCTCCAACTTTCACCGCATGATCCCCGCGCTCTCCAAGCGGTGCGCAGGGGTTGAGAACTTGCACTGTCATTGACTGCATACTGCAGCGCTGCTGCCTGTAGCCGCGCCGCCTGCTCACATGCCGCCTCGCCCTCTGGCCCAGGTCATGGGCGCTCGTGTTCGGCGGCGTCGCAATGCTGATGAGCCTGATCCCCAGCTTCCGCAACTTCCGCATTTTCTCCTTCATTGCACTAGTAGCCACCACCTTTACCGCCTGGGTGAGCAGGGGGAGAGGGGATGCGGAGGGGCTGTAGCGGCAGGGGTGGCCACCAGTGCTGACCTGGCCGCTCACCTTCTGCCACACACTCGTACCCACTGGCCATCTCACCTTTACCTTTACCTTTACCTTTACTGGCCATCTCACCGCTCCCAATGCCAGTACATGGTGGCAATGGGCATCATCGGCTACAATGACGAGGGACTTCAGTCCGTGGCCTGGACGGACCAGACGCCACCCAGCCTCGATGGCTTTTTTGCAGGCGCCTCCAATGTGAGGCGCCGCTGGTGCCGCTGCGCCTGTTGCAGCGGCTGTGAGCGCAGCACTGAGCTGCAGCCCTGACCCCCCCCCCGCAGATCATTTTCACCTTTGGCGGACACGCCATGCTGCTAGAGGTGATGGACAGCATGTTCAGGCCCTTCAAGTTCCACAAGGTCTTCTATTGGAGCTACAACTGTGAGTGCGACTGCAGGGCTAGCTGTGAGTGCGACTGCAGGGCTGTGACTGTCGCCGCCGTCATGCTGCCGCAGTCACCACTACAGACCGCTCTGCTGAGACCACTACCGTTGCTTCCCCTCGCAGATGTCTACACGCTGGTCATGCCTAACAGCGTGTTCATCTATTGGGGGCAAGTGTGCTTTTGATCTTGCTTGCGTCGCGCTGTGCTGCGCCGTGCCGTGCCCTACCCTGCTTTGCATCTCACTGCCCGCCACGAATCCAAGCTTTGCTGCGCTGCTCTTGCCCCGAGCAGATGGCCAGCGCAGGCCGAGCAGTATGGCAATGGTGAGCGCTGCCGGCATGCTGCTGCTGGGCTGCAGCAATTGCCTTGCCGCCCGCCCAAAACACCCACCCTCCCACACACCCACCTACCCCACCGCACCCCCACCCAAACCCCCACCCCCACCCACAGTTTACGGATACATGCCACCATCGGTGGCCCGAGACTTTTCTATCGTGCTGATGGTCATTCACCAAGTCATCGTCTTCGGCTTGTTTGCATTCCCCATGTCAGTCCGCCGGCCCCATATGCCGTGCACCACCCTGCCTGCCGCTGCTCTGACCCTCTGATGGCGCTGCGGCCCACGCATGTGCAGCTATTACATGGTGGAGAAGCTGTTTAAGGTTCACACTGGGGCCTACTGGAAGCGTCTGGCATGCCGGGTGCCCGTCGGTGAGCGGCTCAGTACGCTGCGCTGCACCCCTCCAGGGCTCCCCACAAGGTGTCCGAGGGCGTTCCGCTGCTGGCTTTGCTCCGCTCGGCCAGCAACGGGACGGCTCGGCGGACGTTTGGGAAAAGAAGGGTAGGGCTCGCCCCACTGTTTGCACCGCTCACGTGCACTCCTGCACCCCTACCGTGTGCACTCTGCAGGCTTGCTGCTCTGGCTCATCGCACTGGCCTTCCCCTTCTTCGGAGTGATCAACGACCTGCTCGGCGCCTTCACCACCACGTTCGAGGCGCGCTGCGTGTCGCGCTGCGCTTGCGTCTGGCGCTGTTGTGGGCGCCCCAGCGCCTGTCACCTGCTCCTCTGCTCCGCCGCCGCAGACCTTCATCATCCCATGCCTCGCGTACAACATCCATTATCAGCTCAAGAAGAATGCGGCGCAGAATCGGCTCGAGTCGACCAAGCCACCCAGCAGGCGAGGCGGCGGCATGGGCATGGGCGGGCCGACAGGCTGGACAGGCTGGCTATTACCCAGGCCGTCACTCTGATCGCTGCGTCTGCAAATCCTCCTCCTCTCCTTTTGAGCAGGGCATTGCAGCGTCTTGGAGGCTGGAAATTTGTGATCTGGTTCAAGTGTGTCGCCCGCTAGCTTGCTGCGATCGCCGCTGCCGCCGCGCATGCAACACTGACCTTGCTCTCCTCATTACCTCCTCTCCTGCCTGCATGCAGCTGGGTCATCATCGTGTTCACGGCCATTTTTGGCTTTGGCCTGGGAGGCTACGCCTCCATCAAGGTGCGTCAGGGCCAGCCTGCCCAGACAGCTTTTTTTTTTTGCGCCAGGACACCGAGAAGTCGAGCGGCCAGTTGGGGCGGCTCAGCATTGCCGCTCACTGCATGCGTCTAGCACTCACGCTCTGCTGTACCTCCCTCCCGCAGGCCTTTGTAGACAGCGTCAATGAGTTTGGCGTGTTTGCGGTGCGCAGAGCTGCTGTTGTTTTACACCCGCTCAGACATAAAGTCGTATCGCCACAAGCGGCAGCGCGGAGAGCGTCCTGCCTCGCGCCCCGTAGCTGACCCCGCACTGCATCATCGTTGCTCTCTCCCATGCAGGCCTGCTACGGCTGCTGACCATTCTGCTTCTTCATAGTTCCGATTCTCCTCGGTCGCCGACCCGCCCCTGCCCATCGTCAGCAGGCGGGGCGGCAAGCTTTTTTTGGGTATCCATACTGGAGTCCTCACCACTGCAACCCAAAGTTCAATGCTGCCTGCCGTACTTTCCTGCTCCTGCTCCTGCTGTCAACTCAGACCGTCTGTAAAAAACCTGTGAGCCCCCACCCGCCCCAGAGTGCCTAGGCGCCGCCACCAGCAGCTGCTCGCTGCGGAAGGAGCTGTTGCCAAAGACCTTGAGATTGGCATAGTCCAGAAGATCCAGGTGCTGCTCCTGGGCAGAGGCCGGCCGCGCAGCCGCCGCCGCCAGCAGCTGGCGCTCCGAGGGCGGCGGCGGCGGCGCCAGCGCCGCGTTGCTGGGCACGCCCCGGGGCAGGCGCTGGAAGAACGCCTCGATGCTGGGCCCTCGGGAGGGCTGCCCCGACGGCGTTGGCGCGTGCCGCGCGGCGACGCCGGCGGACGCGGGGAAAGGGAGGCGCCGCTTGCCTGCGGTGGATGGGCGGCGACGGGCGCGCGCCGCGGCCGGCGCCTCCTCCTCGCTGCTCTCCTCAATGCCCTCCACCTCCCCAGCCGCCGCTGCCAGCTCATCCAGCTCATCCTCCCCAGCCACGACCGCCTCCACCACCTCGACGTCTGAAGCAGGCAGCGCAGCGGTGCTCAGGTCAGGGGGGAGCGCACAACCACGGCCAGTGGGTGCTGGAGGCATAGGCAGGTGTATGGCGGGCAGCTGGCATGTTTTTATGTGCTGCTGAGCCGACCGGCGCCTAGTAGAGCAGCTGGCTGTGCGGCGGGTCAGCGCCAAGGGCCAGCACCCACCAGAGCCGCCGGTGCCCGCAGCCTCTCCCATCTCCTCGTCCTCCTCGCTGCTCTCCACCACCACCACCTCGCCCCCGCCGCCGCCCCGAGCCTCTTCGCCGCCGCCGCCGCCGCTGCCGTCCTCGCTGCCAGATGATCCGCTGTAGCTGTAATCTGGCTCCTCATCATCGTCCTGATCTCCCAGCTGCCGCTCATCCCCACCGCCTGCAGCAGCGCCGCCAGAGTCGGCAGCGCCTTCCTCGTCGTCAAGGCCGCCGCCGCCCTGCTGCTCCGTCATCAGCCAGTCCAGAAACTCGCTGACGGCGGCATCGGTGAAGGGGACCTACAGTGCCACAGGAGGCAGCACGCAGCCCCGCAGCCCTGAGGGCGCGCCACGCAAAGCGAGCAGGGGGGCGGCAGGCGGGCGGACGCCTGCGGCCAGCGCAGCCGGGTGCACCACCTGCGACGCCGTCTGCTTGCGGTGCCGCAGGAACTCGTCAAAGCCGCCATACAGGGCATCCTCGCCGATCGTCTCGCGGTAGCCAAAGTCGTCCAGGATCGTCTCCACCACCCGGTGCTTCATGTTGACTCAGCTCGACTCGAGCAGAGGCGCCCGCCCGGCGTCGCCGCCGCCACCAACACTGCCCGGCGTGCACGCTCACGCGCCGCCACCCTGCTCCGCCAATGGTTCCGTGGTGCGACCACTCGTGACCGCCTTTGTGTAAAGCACCACAGCTGTACACGAATCAAACCGGGCAAAGTTGTTGTATCACCGATGATAGCAGGAAGGGGTCCTCAAACGGCGGCGCACGTTCGTGAGTTGAACAACGCTTAGTGTGCAGCAGGTCTTTGCTTTTGGGAATGTGGCAGCGGGCGCAGCACAGAGGCCATGTCGCGGTGGCGGCAGCAGCGCTCCGCTCGCTCTCTTTGCCCGTCTAGTGTGTGGGCAACGCACTTTCTGATGCCACTTCCAGCTGCTGTGCTGGTGACGCCGCCACTCACCGGGCAAGCGCAGCGCGGTGGCAGGGCGTCGGAGGGCCGGGGTTCTGACATCTCCGTGCCGCTGTGCCGCTGTGCTGATGCAAGTTTATAACCCACTGGCACGGTGAACAACGGCAAGAGCTGCAGGTAGACGATCTCTTTGATCAGTGTGTGCAAATTCAAGCTTGGCCCAACTTTGCGGCCTGCGGTCATGCAAGGCTGGCGTCCAGGTGGCGGGAGGCAGCGGAGGGCATCAGGAGGCAGCCTTTGGGCTCAGGCGTTTGCCGACTATAACCTTGGGAAATCCCTGTTTAGCCTAGAACCGCTGCTGTGCAGGGGGCACACTCTCCAGCCGAGTCGGCCTCCGGGCCCGCCGAGTTTTGGGTGCCCGCAATGCCCACTCGCTCCGCAACTCCCATAGATGTTGAGAGCGATGAAGCCAAGGCCGAATACTGGTGGCGGCGCTGCCAGGAGGCATTCGCTGCCGCTGCCGCTGCTCGTGCAAAAGCTGACGAGCTGACTGTCAAACGGTTGGCTAGGGAGGAGGCGGAGCGCGCTGAGGAGGAGCAGAGGCAGAAGGAGGCCGCCAGGATAGCGGCGGTAAAGGAGGCGCAGCGCGTGGCGGCGCGAGTGGCCCAGAAGCCGCCCTCCGGTGAGTTGATGTGGGGCAGGGCTGTCTGGCCGCTGTGGGCTTGTTTGTTGTAACGCGGCAGTGGCACGGCCCATACGCTTTGGGCCAAGCCCAGGCTAAAGGCTCCTACGATGCACGCACACCACTGCCGAAACCGCCTGCCTGTGTGCCCCATGCCATTTGAGTGCCCGGCGGCGGCGCTGTCGGCCGCCGGGAGCCCGCACCAGCATCGGCACCCGTCGGCCTGGCAGGCTTAAGCTGCTAAGGATCCCCACGTCCCCCACCACGTTGTGGGGGTTGCGTGTCCGGCAGGACGGGGAGCGGGGCCAGGGTGGGGTGACCCTGGGACACTCAGCTGGGGGGAGGGTGGTCGGAGCCATGGAGAGGGTGCTCCATGGTCCACCCCCTCTCTTGATGCCCCTTGATCACGTGTGCCCCCTGCCCAAGGTCTGCTCACGCGGCCTATCATAGCGGGGTGACTGTAACACAGTGACAGCACTCACCGGCCACCTGCCACCCCGCCCGCAGCCGTCGACGAGCGCAAGAAGAAGCATTGACGCTATGCCAGCCATGGGGTCGAGCCAACCCCATTTTTCTTGCACAGACCTTCCTCTCTAAGTCCCTGCTGTTGCGTGCCGCGGAGCGCCTCACACTTTACGAGTGCTGCGCCAATCCGCTGCTGCTTTTGTGCCGAAAAAGACTGATGTCGCTGTTCATTTCAAAAGTTTCATGTCTGCATCTGCGATGCCTTTGAAATGTGCTTTCCACCCAGGGTACCAGCCATCATCAGGGTGCTGTGATGGGGCGCAGACCGCCTGTCGTCAGCTGGCTCATCCGATGAGTCATGGAAGCCACCGCCGCAGCTTGAGCGCACCCAGAGCGCCAGCAGGGCCCCGGCAGAGGTCCACCACCACCGCCTGGTCTACTGTTGGGGCTGGGGGCTAGCGTTGAAGCTGCCGTGAACCGGTGCTGGCTTCTCTGGAGCTGAGCAGGAGCAGCGGCGACTGAATTGCTGCTTCTGCCTGCTTGCCGCTCCATACCAGTAAGAGGCAGGTCCTTTGGCGGGGGCAGGCGCCCTGCTGATGAGCGGCCCATGGTCAGAAGAGCGGCAGCAGGGGGGTGACAGGCCTGCAGCAGCGGCTGACCTGCGCAGCTCCCGCTCTCCTGTGACATGCCGGCAACGCTACAACTCAGCGCCCGAGCAGCAGGTTTGCCCGGCACACCTGCCGCCAGAACAGGCTTAATTTGCAGCGAGGAGAAACAGGCCTCCCATTTGGGCAGGTGGCAGCGGGCGCAGCACAGCGGCTATGATGTGGCGGTGGCGGCAGCTGCGTCTCCGCCCGCTCTCTTTGCACACCTCTAGTTGCTGCGGCCATGCTATGTTACAAGCCCCAAAGGATGGGCAGGGGCGTGCGATGCGGCCAATAAACCGGACGACGGGCACGAAGCAGAACGAACCCACTCCTCCACCGCCAGGCGCAGCAGCCTCGCCGCCCGCATCACATGTGCCACATCACATGTAGAGCCCCTCTGGCACCCCCTCCTTCTTCTTGTACAACACTTTCTCCTTGGCCTTCTTCAAGTCCTCCTGCTTCACGCACATGCGCCGCTCCCGCAGCGCCAGCAGCCCCGCCTCCGTGCACATCGCCTTGATGTCGGCGCCGCTCAGCTCGTCCTGCGGCGTGGCGCAGAAAAAAGCAAGGGAGTGGAGTGGTCGTCGTCGAGGCAGGGCCCGCCCATGAGTTGCTAACGCAGGGGACGGCCACGCAACCAAGCAGGCGGGCACGCGGCCGCCCAGGCAAGAACCAGCAGCGGGCCGGGTTGCATGCCCCCAGACTGGCCCAGCCCTCCGACAAACAGGCCGTGCTCCCTTCCCCGCACACCCAAAACCCAGCCATGGGAAACACACACAGGCACACACACACACCGCCACCCTCCCTCCCCCCCCCCCACACCTTGGCCATCACAAACTCCTCGATGTTGACGTCGTCCGCCAGCGTCATGCGCCCCGTGTGGATCTGGAAGATGCGGCGCTTGGTCTTCTGGTCGGGCAGCGGGAACTCGATCTTGCGGTCGATGCGGCCGGGGCGGATGAGCGCGGGGTCCAGGCTGTCGATGCGGTTGGTGGCCATGATGACCTGGCAGGTGACGTGGCAGGGGAGGTGGCAGGGGAGGGGGCGAGGTGGTGCTGGGTGGGCGAGCGAGGGGAACAAGCGCGCGAAAGCGTGGGTGTGCGGCAGCAAAGCAATCCCCTCCCGCAGCCCCGCGGCTCCTCCCTGCACTCTTCTCAGCCTCCCGCTCCTCCCTGCCCCCTGACCGCTGCCCCACACACTTTGACGTCTGTCATGGCATCAAAGCCGTCCAGCTGGTTGAGCAGCTCCAGCATGGTGCGCTGGATCTCGCGCTCGCCGCCGCTGTGCGCGTCGTACCGCTTGGTGCCCACAGCGTCAATCTCGTCTGCAGGCAGGCGGGTAGGGCGCCAGGGTGGGGCGAGACGTGCGCGAGCGTGTTCGTGCATGTGGTGGTGGGGACGGTGGTGGCAGTAACAGGCAGGGAGGCATTTGGCGCATGGGGACGAGATTGGGGAGGTCAGCTCCAGCGTCACTCTTTTCCCTGTCTTCATCCCACCGAACAGACACGCAGGCTGCCACCCCGCAGGTGCAGCGCACCTATGAACACGATGGAGGGTGCCTGCTCGTCTGCCACGCGGAACAGCTCGCGCACCAGCTTGGGGCCGTCCCCCAGGTACTTTTGAATCAGCTCCGAGCCCACCACCCGCAGGAATGTGGCGGAGGTGGAGTTGGCGACGGCCTTAGCCAGCAGCGTCTTGCCGGTGCCGGGCTCGCCGTACAGGATGACGCCCTGCGGGTGCGACGCACGGGAGCAGGGCAGGAGGGGAGGCAAGGGTTGGGGTGGGGCATGCGAAAGCAAGGAAAGGGTGGGCGGGGTGAGAAGCAGGGGCTAAGTGCCAGTGGCCGCCCCACCCTGCCAGCACCTTTCCTCCCCAACCCCCGAACGGGGCCCACACCACCCCGCCTCCAGCGCCCTGCCTGCCTCTCTCCCCGTCGCCCTAACAACTGCCGCCTGGACCTCCACCCGGACCTTTTCCCTCTCGCAACTGCTTCCTTGCCATCCGCGCCGCTCCCTCGCCATCCCTCCACAACCAAGCCGCTCCCCCACCCCACCCACCTTTGGCGGCTTGATGCCGATGTCTTCATACAGCTCCGGGTGCGTCAGCGGCAGCTCCACCGCCTCCTTGATCTCCTGCAGTAGGCGGGGAGGGTGGGCAGGCAGGCAGGCAGGTGGGCAGGCAGGCAGGCGCGAGGGGCGGGCAGCGGGAAGGGAAGGCCGGCAGCTGGGCTGGCAACTAACTCAAGCAGCAGGCAGGGAGGGGGCGCCGCGACGGAGCTCGTCCGGGGGGCGCAGGATTCGAGTGGGGAGCAGCCACTGGTGCCGCAAGAGGATGAGCAGGGGCAAGACGCGCCCCCCACCTGCACCTGCAGCCCAGCCTCCCTCTGGCCCGGCGCCCGTCACCCACCTGGATCTGCTGGTCTAGGCCGCCCACGTCGGCATACGACTCACTGGGCGCCTGCTCCACCTTCATCACGCTCACAGCAGGGTCCGCCTCGTCCGTGAGAATGCCCACCACCTGGTTGCCCTGCACCAGGCAGCAGGCAGCGGCAGGAGCAGGCTGGTCAGCAGGAGCAGGAGCAGGAGCGGGAGGCGAGCAGGCGGCCGGTCGGCGGGAATGTGGCAGGCGGTGGCCGGCAAGGGCCGGGAGGGCGCGGCCAGGCGGCGCTGGCGCTGGCGCCGGCGCCGGCGCCGGCCAGGCCACACGCGCGCATCCACACGCCAACCGATCGCACCTTGTTGTGCAGCAGCACGGTGGACCCTGGTTCCAGCTGCGTCTTGTCCACGAAGCTCATGATGGTGACGTAATACTCGGGGCCCACTGCGTGGGAGCAGGGGAGCAGGGGTGCGCGTATTTTGTGGGCGTACAGAGCGTGTGTGTGTGCGGGAGGCGAGGGCGAGGCGCGGAGCTGCGAGCGGGAGCAGGCAGGGGAGGCCCCAGCCGGCGCCCAGGCCGGCGCCCGGGCCGGCGCGGCTTGCGGCGCGCAAGCCGACGCACCCGCTGAGCTGACGATGGCATGGTTTTCGTCGATCATCTCCTCCAGGGTGCCCACGCTGAGCGGGGTGCCCCGCAGGTCGTCCACCTGCGGCAGCGCAGCAGGCGCGGCGCGGCACAGGCACAGGCGGCTGGGCCGAGGGCGCCGGCCACCGCGCAGCGCGCGGCATGCACTTGCTGCTGCGGCGGCTGCTGCTGCCCGTGTTGGCGTGTGCTGGCCTTGGCGAGCGATTCACTGCGGCCTCAGGAGGCAGGCAGGTCTGCTGGGCAGACAGAAGCCCGCGGCGCCGCTCACCCGCCCCCGCCACCCACCTTTGTGCGCTCCTCCTCGTTGCGCTCGTCTGCGGGCTTGAGGCGCTCCTGGTTCTGCACAAACTCCTCCTCCATCAGCAGCCAGTCCTTGACCCGCTCCAGCTTGAGCAGGCGCAGCTTGCACTTGGCGGTGGGAGTGATGGTGGGCAGCTTGGTGCCCAGGCTGGAGGCGGCGGCGCGCCGCCGCTGCTTCTTGCCCACGCGTGGCGGTGGCGCGGGCGGCTCGTACTTCTTCTTCTTATCCTGGAGTGGGTGGGAGGGCGTGCGGGGGTGGGCCGTGGGCGAGCTACGGCCCAGGCTGGCGGCAGCGGTGGCGGGTGGGGCACCGGCCGCAGGCGGTGCTGTTTTCGTTGCCTGCGCAGCGTAACCGACTGGGCGACTGATTGGATCCCTCTGGATCATGAAGTTTGATCACTGCTGCGCAGACGAGCCGATCGAGCGGAGAGCCCGGCGACTTCGCTCACCTGCTTGTCCTTGCCCTCCTGGCCGCCGCCGCCGCCAGGTGCGGACTGGTTCTGCCCCATTGCGGCACCCTAGCGCAGCCGGGAGGGAAGCGATGGCCGTGCGATCCAGCCGAAGGCTTCCAGAGCCTTGCCCTTGGGCTCCGCAAGTGATCGGAGATTGCTGGGACGGTGGCGGGGGTGGCGGAGCAGCCGAATGGCGCGGCCGGCGCAGAGCAAGTACTTCGACATGTACGGCAACTTGCTGCGGCTGTTGCTGGCTGCGCTAGGCCGGATCACTTGTGCCGCTACCCTGGAACACCCACCGCCCAATCCAACCTCTCCGCCCCGGCAGTTGCTGCCCACACCTGGTTCAAGAGGCAGCTCCTCGCTCCACTCGCCCCGGCAGCAGCCATGGACGGCGAGGGCAAACAGAGGGAGCGCAAGCGGCATGGCAGGCGGCTACGGGCGCTGGAGGACGCCTTCCACCGCACCGTCAAGTATGCGCTGCGCCCTGTGGACTACGAGCAGTTCCAGGAGCAGTTTCCGGCCTTCAAGGACCCCTTGGTGCAGGACCTGTACAGCGGGTACAAGCAGGTGAGGCCGCCGGCCGCTCCCGCCGCCGCTCCCGCCACCCGCCACTGTCGCTGCTGCTCACGTGTCGCTGCCCTGTTTGGCCACCAACAACTGCAGGCGCTGCATCACACGCGTGTGAACATCGAGGCGGACTTTGGGGAGCTGTGCGAGGAGCACGAACTGCGGGACAAGCTCAACACGCTGGAGGTCATGTGCGAGGAGCAGGGCATTGGCGACGGCGACGCGGCAGAGGGCGCCAGGTGCACAGCTGCTGCTGCTGTCCTGTGCGCGGTTGTTTGCGGCCTTGCTCTTGCCCTCCTGCAGCAGCGCAATGGACGGGATGTAAAAGGCGCATGCAGCATGCTGCATGGCAGCCCTCCTCGCCTCACCACCCTGCTCGCTTCTGCCTCGCCAAGCAGGCAGCCGGCGCTGGGGCCCACCAACGCCATCCGGCTGAGCCTGCTGCGCGCCAAGCAGCAGGAGCTGGAGAGCCTGAGGGGGGTTCTGGCAGAGGTGGAGGCGCATAATGCGAGGCTGCAGGGTCAGATGGCAGAGCGGCGGCGGCAGGCGCAAGAGCTCATAGCCAAGACGCAGGTAGGGCTAGATTGCGGTGCAGCAGATTTACAGGCAGGCGGCAGGCGCCAACACGCAGTCGGCTGCATCCTCCGCTCCACTTTTGCGCCGTGCTGAGCGCAGGTTGTCTGCCTGCCTGCCTGCAGCCAATTGCCGCCCAGCTGGATGTCATGCACCTGTCCAGCAAGGCGTGGGCCAATCGAGTGGTGGAGCCTGTGTGATGCCGGTGGAGGAGTGCAGTGGGTGGACAGCTGCCGTTGAACGCCACACCGGCAGCCCCATGCTCCCATTTGTTTGCTTGTTCTTCCTTTCCTCTTGCCACCATGCTTGCTCTTTCCCCTGTTTGGTCACTTGGCACACCCGTTGCCGGTGCCTGCCACATTTGCCAGCTGCTGCACTCTGACTGACATCCTGTACACTGCTGACGCTGCCCCGACTTCTCAGTTCACCTCCCCAGGTGGCAAGCAGCACCACCCCCTGTGACACTTGATCCTGAAACAGAGTGCAGCCCTCTGACCAATGCATTACAACTGAAGCCTAGGAGGGCTTCTGTGCAGTTTGCCGTCGCATCAAGGGCCCCCCCTACGCGCCCAGCCCTGGGCGCTCAGCGCCGCAGGAGCCCGCAGCTGCACGTCGATGGCCCCGACCCGGGCCTGGTACCGGTGGCCCGCCGCCTTCAGGTGGTTCTCCACGACTCGCGGCACTCTGGCCTCACCAGCGCTGGAGTGCGCGCCACGCCCCACCACCACCCGCAGCTGCAGGCCTGCACGCGGCCTGCTGGCGGGGGCGCCGGCCGCGGCTGCTGCTGCTGTGGCGGGCTCGGCAAGCAGGCCGTGCAGCAGGGCGAGGCGGCGGTCCAGCGCAGCGGTGGCCTCTTGAGCGTGGAGTCCGTGCAGGTCCAGCTCAAACAGGCTGCAGGGGGCGGGATGTGTGTGTGAGCGCAGCAGCGAGGAGGAGCAAGGCTGGCCCTGGTGCTTGCATGTGCATGCCACAAAGCCAGCTCCCCTTTGTGCCTGCTGGTACCTGCCACGCTCCTACGTGCCCACCTGTTGTGCCGGTTGTTGTCGGTCTCTATCCGCTCCGCTGCCTCGGCATGCGCCGCCAGCGCCTGCCGCCGCAACCCCTGCGCCTGAGCTGCCAGCTGGCGCGCGGCCGCGTGCTGCCCGGCGCTGTACGCCGCCGCAGCAGATCGCGTCGTCCGCTGCCACCTCCTTGTGAGCAGCAGAGCATTCCGGCGGTGTAGAAAGTACGGGCCCTGCTGCATCTCTGGCTCATCATCGCTGCCAGCAGAGCCCACTGCTGGGCCCGGGTCGGCAGCAGCTGCGCCAGCTGTCGCCACCTGTGCTTCTGCGCGCTGTGGCTGGCCAGCCGCGGCCGTGTCGCTGGCGACCATGTCTGCAAGCAGGGCATCTGCTAGCTCACCATCCTGCCCAGCAGCCTGCATCACCGCGGCCACCAGCTCCCTCCCCGCCCAGCTGTGCTGCCGCAGTAGCTGCTCTGCTGCTCCTTCTGTTTCGGCTCCTAGACAACAACGAGGAGCTTGCGCCGCCAGCTGAGGCCGCCAGGAGGTGTCAGGCTGCCCAGGTCCTGCACCAGAAGGTAAAGGCCCCGTGGGGAAGTCGGCTGCCGTCAACAGAACCCCCTTCTGCCGCTGCCGCTGCGCGGGTGCAAAGCGTGGGGCGACTGGCAGCTGGAGCCTGGCGGCTTCTGCCAGCGTGCCCCACGACGTGGTCTGCAGCTGTTCGTCCCTTCTTTGTCTGCTGGATCTAGGCGGTGCTGCCTCGTTCTTCTGCACACACAACAGAATGAACTCGAAATGAGGAAATGCATTCTTCTGCCGAGGGGACACGCAGTGAGCAGGAGTGACGGACACGCCAGCGGCCGGCGGCGGGCTTGGCGGCCACCTGTAGCAGCTCGCTCGCAGCACCGTCCGCATTGCCGTGTCTTCTGAGAGCGTCCTCTATGGCGGCAGGTGGTGTTGCGGGGAACGCATCGCGCAGCGCGGCAAAGTCGGCCATTGCGCCAGGTTTTGCCCCATCCAGGCAGATCAATGGTTCAAATGAATGCACTGGAACTTTGAGGAGGTGGAAGGCTGAAAAGATGGGCCGCTCACTCTCAGCCAAGGCGCAGGCGCCGCCCTCTGAGTCCTGCAGGCAATGCGTTTCGTGTTGATGTTGCGTCACGTCCCACACAGGGCATCTCATTCGCCATCTTAATGGCTTGCAGTGACAGGAAGTCAGGCGTGCTACGACTGGCGACCAGCCCACCATCTCCGCGTGGTGCCGAGGCGCCGGCGCCGCCAGTGAGGCTGGCCTTGGCCAATATCACCATTCCAACTGCGCTATTTTGTTGCACTTCGTACCTTCTGCCAAGCCAGATCGTGTCCAACCTCAACGCTAAACTTTGGCTGCTCGTTCCTGACTGCCAGCTTCGGCGGCGGCTTGCAGCAGCGATCATGCAACCGAGTAAATCGTGCTGCACTCTTGCAGCCCAGCCAGCGCTACGAGAGCCGCAGGCCAGCAAGGGGAAACTTTCGCAGCGGCGACAACGCCTCATAGCCCCAGCCAGACGACGACGAAGGGCAGCAATCAGAGCGCAGGCAAGGCGCGATGCGCTGCGGGGCGCTGCCTTGGACAGATGCCTTGTTGGAGGTTCGCCGCCGCCGCCGCCGCCGCCGCCGCTGTGTGCGTCGCGTCGCTTCTGGTCTAACTTCCCCTTCCCTCGCTTGCTTCCATTTTGTTTATCCCTTACTTCCAGGGGTTGGAGTGGGGCGACATTGTGGTATACGACAGCCCAGGTGGCGCCCCCGCGCTGGGCCGTGTAGTGAGCGCGGCGGGGGCCACAGAGGTGACTGTGGAGCGGCTGGAGGAGGACGCAGTGAACCTGGTGTGGCTGGTGGCGCACGAGGCCGAGCAGCGCGTGCCTGCGTCCGGCGTGCGCCGCACCGTGCAGGCCGACTACCTGCAGCTGGTGAGCGGGGGAGGGAGGGTGGAGGGCCGGCAGGCTGCCGGCTTGTGGGGTCGGCAGGCTGTGGCAGGCTGTGGACGGCCGGCGACGCCTCGGTCTGCCAAGCCCTGCATTTGAAGGCATTCCCCTGTTCCCTGACGTAGTGTACCGCCGCCTGCACTGCCCGCCTGTCTCCTGTACCGCCTCCCCGTACCGCCCGTCCAGGTGGACCCAGACCGGGTGTCCAACCCGCACGGGGAGCACGCGATAGAGGCGTACCGCTTGCTGGAGCCGCTGGCAGGCGCGCTGGACGCCGCCGGCAGGGCGCAGGAGGGGCCATAGCGGGCGCCGCATGGGGGCGTGTGCGCACCAGCGCCCGCTGCTCCCGCGGCAGCTTGACCGGTGGGGTACAGCGCTGTGCGACCCTGGCTTAACGTTACCCTGCAAGCATCGTGTGCCCTTCTGCCTTCCCTCACTTTCCTCCCGAGTCTTCCCGTCACGCTGCTCCCTGCCCACACTCTCGGAATTGTTTCGTCATTACGGTTTTGTTACATTGGCCTGCCTTCACAACGCGACGCAAGCATGCGCAGTGCAGGCGCAGTGCCGTGGGCTGCAGCTACCAGCCGCCACCCGGCTGTTGTGGTAGCCTCTGGCCCTGCAGTCACACGGAGGGTGGGTGATGCCCTGCCCCGCGGGCCAAGCCTACCTTGCCTGCCTGCCAGCGCTGCGTGGCCGACAGCCGCTCATGTGGAGCTGAGCCTGCGCAGGCAGGAGGGGACGGGGGAGGCAACGGCGGCAGGGCAGCGGCAGCAGCCATGGGGAGAGGCTTGGGCAGCGCTGAGCCAGCAGCCAGGCGCAGGGGGCCATCAGGCCAGGCACACACCACTGCAATTTGTGCACGGCATGCCGCCTATGGCCAGCTGGAGCTCACATGACTGCTATCGGCTTCTTGGCAGGCTGCTGCTGCTGAGGCTGCGCTCCGGGGGCCGCGGCCTGGTGATGCATCACCGTCCACTCCCCCACGTCCCCCACCGCCGCCAGCGTGGCCTCATCGGAGGCGGTATTGCGCTCCGCAGCAGTCTCCGCTGCTCCAGCCGCCGTGGCGGGCGGCGCCTGCGGCGCAGGGCGGGGCGGCGGCAGGGAGGCACGCGAGCGACGTTTGCAGCGCTGCCGCTGCCGGCCCCCGGCAAGCCAGCTCAGGCCCCAACACGTTGCAGCCGAACTGCCCACAGCACAGCAGCAGGGCCAGCAAAACGGGGGGCTGGGAGGCGGGCGCGCGCAGCAGGCGTGACGCCACAGGCGCATCAGGCGGCGGCAGGCGCGGCGCGAGCAGGGCCCTCGGCCCAGTCCTCAACCTCCTGCTGCCCATCCTCGCCCAGCTGCTGCTGCTGGAGGTCCTCCATCTGGAGGTCCGAGGTGTCGCCAGACGGCGGCTGCGTCGCGCCTTCAGCCGCCGCCGCCGCCGCCGCCGCCGCCACCGCCGCGGCGGCCGCCGTAAGCGCCACCCCTTCCCCCGTCTGCTGCCGCTTGGCCGCCGCCGGGCCGCCTCCCTCCCCGGCCTCCGACACCCGCTTGCTGCCCGCAAGCTGCTGTGGCTGCTGCTTGGCCGCCGCCGCCGCCGCCGCCGCCGCGTCGTGCCCGTCGGCGGGCGCCGCCGCGGTTGCCGTCGCCGCCGCTGCGTCGCCCCCATCCGCCGCGGCTGGCGCGCCGCCGCCGTTGTTGGGCGCGGGGCGCACCCATTCGGGGAGCTGGCGCTGCAGCAGGTGCCGCACGCTGATGTCCATGCCTTCCCGCCGCTGCTCAAACTCTTTCACCTTGTGGGCAAACTCGTTGACGGGCTGGGTGAGGTCGACCTTGGACTGAGGGATGATCATGGCCTGGTACGAGTTGTACGCCTGAGCCTGCGGTACCAGGGGCAGTCCAGGCAGTACAGCAAGGGTCGCAGCAAGCGGGCAGCAGCGTCTCGGCCGGGCAGCTGCGCCGGGGGGACACGCGGCCTGGCGGCAGCGGCGGCGGCAGCGGCGGCGGTGGCGGCGGCGGCATGAAGGAAGGGTGGCATCGCCGGGGCGGCCAGGCCAGGCGGGCAGCAGGCAGGGCGGCGGCACCTTCTTCTTGCTGAGCCCCATGAAGTAAAAGCAGCGGGGCTGCTGCTGCGCCGGCGGGTCGGCCACGCTGCCGCCGCCGCCGCCGTCCTGCTGCTGCTGCTGCTGCTGCTGCTGCTGGTCTGGCGGACGGAAGGCCTTGGGCCAGGGCCGCACATCCACCATCATGCCGGCGCTCTTCCAGGAAGAAAGAAGAAGGAAGGAAGACAGACAGACAGGGAGGCAGCCAGGCAGGCAGGCAGGCGTTTGTGAAGCAGGTAACAGGTACATGGATATATGACTGCGTGCCACGCCAGCCGCCCTGCAGCTTGCTGGCATTGCATCAAGCCTGCGCCTCCCACAGCTGGCGCGGCCGCCCTGCTGGTACCAGGCAGCAGCGCGGCCGGCGGCGGCGCGCGGCGGCAGCAGCCCACCCACCTTGATGAGGAGGCGCATGCGGGAGTGCACCCACCCCTCCCACACCTCAAAGTCCTCCTGGCTGGACGCCATCACCTCCACCTGCCCAGCACAGCACACCAGGCAGGCAGGCAGGCGGGGCAGACGGTGGGGGGTAGGCAGACAGGCACTGGCAGGCAGGCAGGCAGGCAGGCAGGCAGGCAGGCAGGCACGCGGGTGGGCAGGCAGGCGGGCACTGGCAGACGCGCAGGCAGGCAGGCAGGCAGGCGCCAGGCGCAGCTCCAGGCGCAGCGCTGGCGGTGCGGAAGGCGGGCGGGGCAGGCGGGGTGCTGGCAGCGGGCGGCGCACCTGCAGGAAGTGCTTGAAGCCCTCGAAGAAAGGCAGCGGCTCCAGCAGCTGGGCCCAGTCTGTGAGGCCCGAGCCGTTGTGAGTCATGATGCGCCCGCACACCTCGTCGCCTGCAGCCACGCGGGGCGGGGAGGGCGGCGCGGGGGGTAGGGTCAGGGTGGGGTGGGCACGCAGCCTGGCCAGGACGGCTGGGCGAGACGGGGGCGCAGGCCGCGCCCCGTCCGGGCGCGCCCACGCCGCAGCAGCTGCCAGCCGGCGGCGCCTCGCTGCTGCTGCCGCTCTGCGCCTGCTCCACGGCTGCTGCATTACTGCCGCCGCAACCACCACTGCCGCCGCCACCACCACCACCGCCACCACCTTCACCGCCACCCGCCTCACCCCTGCGGAACTCTTCTGCCATCACCGCCAGCGTGCATTCCGACACATTGTATGAGGAGTTCATGCAGGGGTATGCGGGGGTGATGATGGGCATGAGGTGGGTGCGGTCCCGCGGGTTCTCCCGAGGATCCCACACAGGCATGGCCAGAGAGGGGTCGCGCTCAATGGCGCGTAGCATGATGGGCGTGGGCCACGCCCATTGGCTGTACACCTGCGGTACGGGCAGGCAGGGGGCGGGGCCGAGGTGGGGCGGGGAGGCAAGCAGACATGGTTGGCTGTAACGACGCAGCCGGGCTTGGTCGGTTGGCTGAAAAGAAGCAGGCGGGCTGGTTGGGTTGATTGGCTGGGCGGCCAGCTGGGTGGGTGGCTTCGGCGTGCATGTGCGGCGCCGGGTGGTGTTCAGCCCCGGGTGCGTGCGGCAGGCGCGCCTTGAAGAAGCGGGAGATGAGGAGGGAGGGGGCGCCCCTCGGGTACAGCTTGCAGACATAGGCCACCAGGATCGCCCAGTTCACGCCCCCCAGGTAGCCGGTAACGTTTGAGTAAACGCCGCGCCGCTCCGCCCACAGCTTGAGGCAGCGCAGCGCGGTGCGGAAGTGCGGCACGCTGGGCACCTCGCTGCGGCGGCAGCGCGGGGAGGGGCAAGGCGGCAGGGTGGGGAGGGCGGAGCGCGCGGTGCGAGCGGGCAGGCAGGCACGCTGGGTGGCGGCGGGAGACGAGGCAGGCTGGGCATGCTGGAGGCGCACGCCGCAAAAGTAAAAACCACCCCGCCGCCGCCCCGCCCCGCCCCCGCACCGCACCGCAGGATCATGTCTGTCACGCGGCAGCCGTTGAGCGAGCGCACAGACTGGTCGTCGCAGTGGCGCAGGGTGTGGGTGGCGCCGATGTCCAAATCCTCCCGTACCAGCGGTACCGACAGGCGCGCGTACAGCAGGTCGATGGAGATGCCGCAGAACTGGCGGAGGGGGATCGTGGGGTGGGGGCGGGGGCGGCGGTGGGAGAAGGAGGGAGCAGGAGGACGCAAGCGGCAGGCAAAGGGCTCCGCGCCCCGCTGCCCAGCAGCTGGCGGCATGTAGAGGAGGTCGGGACTCCCGGCTGCGCCCGCGCCTGCTTCCCAGGCCGGAAGGGAAGCAGGGAAGGAGGGCAAGGGCGAGGCGCGCCCACCTTCATTTCCATGACGGGCACGTAGGCGGCGGTGACGGCGCGCAGCGCCAGCACCTCGGGCAGCGCGCACAGCATGGCCTGCAGGCAGTGCGGCTCGCTGCCGAAGAAGTCGCCCTCGCGCGTGGCATAGCTGGGCCCCACGCACAGCGTGTCGATGTCTGCCCCGGGGCCGTGCACGCCCAGGCGGTAGGAGCCAAAGGTGAATATCTTGGCGTTGGCATCCTCCGGAGGGTGCCCCCGCAGCGCCGCCACGCCGCGAATCCACTCCTTGACCAGCCCGTCCAGCCGCCCCAGCACCACCTCCCGCAGCTCCGCCTCCTCCTGGGACTCGTACAGGCCCTGGTCGCGCAGGTGCTGCAGGCGGGCGGGCGAGGGAAGGAAGGGAAAGAAAGGGAAGGAAGGGGTGGTGAGGGCACGGGCGGCGGGCGCGGGCAGGGAGGGAAGCACATGAGCGTGGAGGCCGGGGTCGCCAGGCAGTCGCAGAGGCAGCAGTCGGGAATCAGGCTGTGGGTGCAGGGCCTCATGCCACGCAGCGCGCTGCAGGACGCACAGCCAACCAACCCAACAGAGTTGGCCGAGCGAGGCGGGAGCAGCGGCGCGTTCCCACTCTTGCATGGCACGGCCCCGCGCCTGCGCGCACCTGCTCCAGGTCCCGGGTGTGCTTCAAGTCCTGCGGGGTGGGCTCGGCCTGGCTGATAGGCTCCACGAATGGCCGCCGACTCGCCATCTCGGGCCCCTACGCCCCACGCCGCAGCTGTGGATCACAGGCACCAGCAGGACGTGGCAAGCTGACAGCGCTGCAGGTCCGGCGGGGCGGTAGAGGCACCGCCGGTTTGGCCAGCAACGTTAATGCTGTCGGGAGATATTTTGGCCGATCGTGAATGCGAGCGGAGGCGCGCCACAGGCGGATGGGTGCGGGAGGGCTCGCGTGTCCAGGGAGCCGGTGGTGACAATGCATAGCAGGCTTGCCACGACCTCCTGTTTTGCGGCTGCAGACCCAATCAGCATACAAACAATCGCCGGCAGCGGCCATGGGTCAGCTCTGAGGAGGCACTGCGGCTGCATGCGTTCATGCCAGAGTGACTCTGCACCCCTGGGCGCGCCACTGTGCATTTGAGGACTCATAACTTATCGAGATGCAGTCCAGCCTGCACTCTAAGGAAATAACGACGGCCCAAGTGGCCGCCGTGACCTTCGGCTTCTTCAATGACGAAGAGGTGGGAGCATGGCGCGCCTGGTAGCCCTGTCTGGAACCTCAGCAATGGATATTGATGGTTAGGGGTGGGAGGCCGCTGCTGGAACTTGCCGCTCCCGCCCGCCGCCGCCAGCCACGCCGCCCATCGCTCTGTGCCGCCGCCTCCTGTGCCCCTTGCCCCTTGCTCTTCATCGCAGGTGCGCAAGATCAGCGTGAAGCAGGTGGAGGCGCCCATGATCTTCGACAACATGCGCACGGCGGTCAAGGGCGGCCTGTACGACCCCGCGCTTGGGCCCATGGACCCCAAGGAGCGGTGCGTGCCTGCAAGGCAGTCCCGCCGCCGGTGTCATCCCTCCCTGGCTGCCCCTCTCCTGCTGCCCCGGCTTGCACATCACATTCGTGTGCTGCTAAAAAGGGAGCCGGCTTAACGGCTTACTGTTGCGCGTCGCTGCGGGCCGCGTGCTGCAGGTGCGCCACCTGCGGGCTCAGCAGCTTTGAGTGCCCCGGCCACTTTGGGCACATCCAGCTGGCGGTACCGCTGTACAACCCGCTCGTGTTCATGTGAGAGGGCTGGGCAGGGTGCTGCATGGCACAAGGCGCTGCATGGGCACATAACAAGGCGCTGCATGGTGCAGGGCGCTGCACGACTGGCGACTGCAGCCTTCCAGCCGCTGGCCCGTGCCTCACGCGCCCCGTC